GAGACAATCGGTCCAGTTGCTGCGTAGACTGTGCATGATTATGAGCCACTAAAACTAGTCAAACGCTTTCCTCGAATCATAAAAAGAGTGGAGTTTTCGAAGGTCCAATTACCCTCCCGCATCGTTTATCCCCAACACTCCAATTCCTGAAAGGCCGGCAACGTACATCCAGTGTTGCGATCATAGGTGGGAGAAAAACCGACTGTCAATTTGTCGCCCTTTACCTTAAAAAAGGAAAAGTTTTGTACAAAGAAAATGATCGTAACATCACCCAAACTTGTCTCTTTCGAAACGTCGATGTGTCATATTTATCGCCGGGAACTGTAATTAGCTGTTTACTTAGGTACCTATGTATGCTAATTAATGCTCACATGATTCGCCATAATCGCCACACTCATTATCTTCGACCGGTTTTAGCGAGAATTTACATAAATGCCGAATTTGTAACTCGTTATGTTCAGAGGTGTGTATTGATAGATTGGATATTGTTATTCTATGTGAGCTGATATTGTTATATTCTAACGGTTTACTCGTCCAATCTTGTAATATGTAGTGTCGTTTCTTGGTTGAAAGCGAAAATGTTTTTATTTGTTTGTTACTCCTAAACTGCTGAGTGTATTTTAACGGATTCAGACCCTTTTACAGGAGATTATTTTAGTGATTTGCTACATTGTCATCATTCACTCATCATTGTCAAACCCAGATAGACAACGCCTTCCTAAATACACGGGATTTAATTTATATCCTTGATATTTAAGCAACGCTTTATATCATCAATCTGTGTTTAAAAATCTGCCAATGTCAGATGACAGTCACATAACAAAATATTTAGCAAAAATTAAAACACATTAGTTGAAAAAAACTGACAAATAGTAATTATTGCAAAACGAAACAATTTTATTCCTAACAATTATTGTTCGACTCTACCAAAGGCTTGAGTAAAAACTAAAAAATAGGTGACCGAATGTCCTTGTGGGACCCCAATGGACGGTTTCTTTCACAGGCTCTTTGTACATAGGTAATCACTCCTTTGACCGCGCACAAAAGACGTCTGGGAACATTGTACATTGATATTCACATCTACATACTCCGTTTTATATTTCATTCTTTTGAATGAACTGTTTTATGTGAGATTTTTATAAATAAAAACCTGTTTTGTTGCCGTCCAAAATAAGATTCACTTTTCAAACTGGATCTTTTCTTGACGTATTTTAGCTTTGATTTACCGGTTCTTCACCATGTGTATGTATGTATTAGACGTCAGAAACTCAGAAAGATGTTAAATGTGGGAGAGCCATGCTTCGGCACGAATGGGCCAACTCGACCGGAGTGATACCACGGCCTCACAGAAAACTGACGTGAAATAACCCTTGCATTGTGTTTGGTCGTGTGAGTGAGTTTACCAGAGGCCCAATTACTACCACCCCCTCCTTCCCCTGAATCCCCAACAATCCTTAAATTCCTAATCCCAAAACGCACTTCGAACACCTCTGGTGTTCCAGGTGTCCATGGGCGACGCCGAGTGCGTACCGTAAACGTAACCGTACGTAAAAGATGATTATAAAAAATTGTTCATTTATTTATTTATTTATACTTTATTGCACACACAGAAAAAAATTTTCATCATCATTTACTGTCGCTTTTACACACATCAAGCACATTAAAACATCTTCAAGCATATACTGTGCTTCTTAAATCTAATTATGTCTATCTCCACTATAAACTAGATTCACAATTTTCACAATGGCCTTTATCGAATTACTTATGTCCGGAGCAATTTTGCAAAAGGAACCGTCATACAACTTGACCAGGCGATCGCCTTGAAATTGATTTTGATAGTCAAACCTTGACTTTTATCGATAAAGATTACTATTACCATTTTAATGATTGTAGAAAATGTTTAGTGATTGTCACGAACTATAAAACCCAGTGATGTAACTACTGTTGTAAAATGACAAAAACTGTTTGGTATATCACAATGTAGTCTTTATGGATGTTAGAAGGTTGAAAGTCTGACATTGGTACTATATAGTCTGATATTGGTATTAATACTAGGTGAGTTGTGTCTTAGGCGAGTAGATAGATTAGAACTGGAAATTCACGGATTACTTATCTATTAAGTAACCTATCAAATTATTAATAGTCCTTTTTAAGACTGGGGATATCTTCTAGCTAATAGACATATTTTAAAAGACAAACCCTAATGAAGCACCGAGGGACTGAGTGCTACAATCAGTTGTTGTTATAGATATTAGGTGTACCTAAAGTTGTAAAATAAAACGGCGTTGCCTTGGAAAACCAACATTGAAACGAGCAATGTTTAATTTTATAGAATATCGATTAATAGTACTTAATATTTAATAGCTAGTAATGTTCATTAGCAAGTGATAATCGGGATAATTACAAGGTATCTTAACTTAGTAATATCATGAACATCACCTAATCTAAATGGGAAGTTAATTAACGTCGGTATCGTGTGTGTGTAGGCGTTTATTAGGGTTTGATACTGTGACACATAATTAACGAGCGTTCACCCCTAATGAAATTCTTAAAAGAGTGTACATTGTAGCTACAGCTTACTATATGATATCTGAATTACGAGTCTAATTTGCAAACATAGATCTAGGTTAAAATTATAGTTTCCTATTATGTTAGTAATACCTATGAAAGAAGAAAAAATAGTTTATATATTACTAGCGACCCGCCCCGGCTTCGCACGGGTGCAATATGCATGTATTATACATATAAACATTCCTTAACAATCAGTCTATCTGTTAAAAAACCGCATCAAAATCCGTTGCGTAGTTTTAAAGATCTAAGCATACATAGGGACAGACAGACGATGGATAGCGACTTTGTTTTATACTATGTAGTGATAAAATGATGTCTGAATAGAAGAAGATTATTAACGTATTTATTTATCATCTTCTACGCCGACCTGTAACAGTTCACTGAACACAGACCTATTTTATGTTAAAACTTTCGTGAGACATACTAATTAATTATTATGTTTTCGGATCGCGGAATGCTGCTCATGAATATGCCTCTAGCATGGCTTGAAAATAGTCTAGTTCCTCGTCAAACTGTTACGTGAGTGAGCCGAAAACATAAATAATTAAACATACCTTTTTATTTGCCCAATTACCCTCCCCTTCCCCAATCTCCCCAATCCCTGAATCCCCAACCTCCTAATTTCCAAAAGGCCGGTAACGCGCTTGTAACGCCTCTGGTGTTCCAGGTGTCCATGGGCAACGCCGTTTGCTTACAATCAGGTGATCCGTCTGCTCGTTTACCGGCTTATGCCATAAAAAAAAACCTTTTTCCAATAACATATCACTGAGGTTAAATATCGTATTCAACTACTACCAGTCAATACGCGAATCTCGTCTCCGTCTACCTGGCTAGTGGGAGAGTAGGTATAAAGCTACGTTTAGCTAGCACAAGGAATTCCTTTCCTTTCTTCTTCCCTTCCTCTTCATCTACAACAACTGAGTGATTGTGAGTGATCTTCAGATTGCGCCAATCTGCTAGTTATTTGCTCTCGTTTGTCACATCTATACTAATATTATAAAGAGGAAAGATATGTACCTATTTTTGTATGTTTGTAATGAATAGGCTCCAATAGGCCCAGTACGGGCCGATTTAAAAAAATCTTTCACCAATAGAATGCTACATTCTTCCAATTTGACATAGGCTATACATTTCATTTTGAAAAAAAATAGGGATCTTTGGTAAAATTTGAACAATGTAACCGCAGGTGTAGAAAAATGAGTCTTAAAATGTCTTTCGTCGAATGCGCTGCAGAAACTATTAGCGATAGAACAAAATAATGTACAACAATATTGAAGAACATCCGTCTACAAAAAACTCCGCGGTAGCATATGTCCAACTATTGTAGTTATGTCACTACAACAATCCAAATTTTAAAATGTAAATAATTGTCTACCCCGTGCGAAGCCGGGACGGGCTGCTAGTGTATTATTAAAGAACTAAGAGCAAGGCCAAAAAGAAGGAGAAACCAATTATCTAGACAAGTTACGTGATCAGGTGATGAGCAGTTTGTCTGCAATTCAAATAATGACAAACACGGGTCGTAGACTATTTGCCGGACGTGAAATTGCTCTTGAAGAGTGAATACGTAACAATAGCTATAACGTTGTATTATCCAATCAGTTGCAGAGTGCCGGGTCAATGAACTTTCGTAGCCGTTATCATTTGACTCAGTGTATTGTGAATTATGAAACTTTTTATTAAGAAGTTTTTTTATCAGACCTTTCATAAAGTTTTGTTAACGATGAATGTTTAGAAGGAGGTTTCGGGTTTGATACATGGGCAAACAAAGGATTATTTAGTCAAAAGACCATGTTATTTATCAAAACAGTTACATTTATTAATTTTTTTCATAAATGAGAATTTCAAAGATTGAAATGTGCAGCAACATTCACTAGATGTGATATTAAATAAATAGGGAGATTATATTATTTCTAAAATAGTTGTTGTAAACTATGACAGCTATCGAGCTGTTATAAGCAGTTAAATACGATGTGAATTTATAAGGAAAAGCTGATTGAATATTTTTCTGTTTTTTTTTGCAAAAAGGTTTAAAAAATTAGATTAAAAATGATAGTTAAACATTTTGCATTTTTAATTTTAATTAATCTTAGTTATAGCTAATTCATTGCAAATGATCATTTCAGTACAATGACGATTGATTTACAATTCAATTCTAAATATGTACTATCTTTAAACTTGTCACTTTTATCTTCGCGCCATCTAAAAAGCTGGATTGAGTAACGATTTCTTTAGCATTGATCAGTTTATTCCCTTTCTCCTGGATGATATATTTTGTCGACATACTTTATTTATAAAAATAAATAATTTCTAATCCTATTCTTCTTTCCAGGTCGCCAAAAAGTAAAGAAGAATGCGAGACCGAAGCCCTAAAGTCGGATCCGGAGGGGGATCCGGAGGCCAAAGAGGGTGGCGAGGGAGCCCTAGAAGCAAAATGTCCTCATGAACGGCATCACCGTTATTGTAGGTTCCATCATTGGAAGTGGTATCTTCGTGTCACCAACTGGTGTCCTGAAGTATACTGGTTCAGTTAACGCTAGTCTGCTGGTATGGATTGCTTCTGGAGTTTTCAGTATGGTAAGTACTCAGATGGAACAGTGTTTTTTGTGTTAGTTCATAGTTAAATTATTTTTTATGATAATCTGATTGTCACGCTATGATATCTATAGGTAAAATTTAGGTTAAAGATCCATTTAAGATTAAATAAGAAAAAGCTTTCCTACAGTATTTTCGACTTGCTTTGCAAAAAAGAAAAGGTTTTAACAGAGTACAGAAAGCAATTTCTATTGATTTCAAAAATGACTTCATTCCTCAAAATACACATTTCCTGTAGAATCACTGTAGCAACTTTTCAAATTAATATCTTCATTCTGATTAATTTGGTCTACAAAAGCTTTAGCAGGAATTTCTGAGCGGAGTACCTCAGGGGACTTATTAGGACCTACTTATTTTAAAACCAGTATAATAAGCCAATCTGAGAGAGCTAGCAACAAGAAATATTGCTTCCATTCTCTGAGGGGCTTATTAAATTTGTCGCTACACCACGGCTTATTATTAAAAATTCTCTCAACTTGTAATTTATATTTTCTCGTTTTGGGTATTTCATAGTTATGGAAAGCTATAAATAATTCTTTAAGAAATTGTGGCATTTAGGAGCAATCGAATCATTGTTTTGTTGGTTCAGTGGTCGCAAATACCACTGAGGAGAAGTTTTTTTTAAACGTAGCTTAAAAAAGAATAATTATGAACTTGTCTGCTATCAACACAGAGAACATAGACATACGTACAATCCACCACGTGTGTAAAATAAAATGAAATCACGTACATTATTATCGTATAAACATGTTGCTATCTGTCACATGGCGGACAGCAGAGCAGATAGTGAATCTACAGGAGTAGTGAACTGTTTAATGAGGTAGAATTTACAATTGATCTTAAAGATAGAAGTTTATTTTATCCTTATGGTACTGTAGGAGATTGTTATCATAATTGTTAGTCCTTTTTGTTTGTAAATAGTTAGGTGAATGAACTTTAAAGAACATGAGTATAATACAAATAATATTTTAACTATGCTTCGTCAGTTATTTTGTTACTAAGGGTAGTTTCTTGCTCGTTCTTCTTCATAGGATTCTGCACTTTGGAACGAGCAAATAGCTTCACTAGACGACTGACCGAAAAACCGTTATGTTTTAAATATTTCAATATTTTGTTTTGATGTTCAAAAGTGCCTTCCTGGTCTAATTGAATTAAATGATTTTGACTTTGACTTTAAGGGCAGTTTTGTGTTAAGACCAGTAGTTGCGATGCAGCCAAATTATTTTGGATTTTTAATTATTCTCCGAAATGAAATTGAGACCTATTTTTGCAATTGCTTGATCAAAGATCAAATGTTCGAGTTATTGAAATAGTGACTAGCTTCTGCCAGCGGTTTCACTCGCGTTTCCAAGATAAGAAATAGTTTTTAAGTTAAGATTTGCAGACTATCATTTTCGATCTATTCAGTAGTCTTCATTTCACATTGATACCATTATAAGAAGTATTCGATCCGATCCTTGACTCGATGAAAGCACTAATGAGATTTCGATTCCCTTTTTAATCATTTTACAATATCGCACCCTTAAATGTTAACGTTGGGGATCCCTGCGACGCAATGATAACGTAGTGACGTAAACTGTTTAAAATAACAGCCACAAAACTCACATAACAATAATAATTAACTAACTATATTATTACAATCATGTGACTCTTGATGTAAGTACTCTTATCTGTATGTTTCTTTAAGAAATTAAGACCAAGGGCCAATGAACTATGTGTAACAAAAAAGTACTACTGGGTTTTTAAAAAAAATCTCAGTAGTAGCACGGAGTCTGGAATTGTGCCCGGTATATGGCAATAGGCTCACCCCCTATTACATGGGACTCACAACATAAATAGTGAAAAGTGGGTGTTACATTGTACAGAGGCATAATGTGCACCTCTGCCTACCCCTTCGGGGATAAAAGGCGTGATGTTATGTTATGTAACAAAATTATGTTATTAAATTTACTACAAATCGCCGGTTACTCATGTGAAGATACTGAAAAAGCTCTACTAGTTTCGAGCCACAGAGGGCCACTTCCTCATGAGCAGCGTACGTCAGTAGGCTGCGCGACATCGCCGTGACCTACTAGTAGAATTTTTCTCAGTATATTCACGTGAGTAACCCGCGATTTTTAGTTAATTTCGTATGTCTCACGATAGTTATTATAAAAATATGATATTGTTTCAAGATTGCGACAAACATTAAAATGACGTAATTTTCTAAGGGAACGGTGCACAATCCTATACTCACTTTTTACCACTTAAGTTATGAGTCCCATTCCTATGTAATAAGAGGAGGGCCTATTGTTATACCGAGCACAATTCTAGACATCTTGCTTATATGCTATTTAAAAAAAAAAAACCTTTTCCCACACTAGGATTTTCTCCTGTGTCGTGGGTGCGTTTACAATACAAATTCACATACACATGACACCCAGATCCGACACAACAACTTGTGGAACACAAACAAAGTGTTGTTCTGTTCGGAAATCGAATCCGCGACATGTTGCACGGCAGTCGGTTGCCCAGCCTCCGCACCGACCATGCAGTTGAAATCAGCTATTACGTACCTACTAATTTTTGAAAATTCACGATCCTGTTGCTGATCTAGAAATCGATCAAGGAGACAGTCTTGTCAAATAATCCTTACTGATATTATAAATCGGAAAGTGAGTTTGTTTGTTTGTTTCAACTTCACGCCGTAACTACTAAACCGATTGCATTGAATTTTTGCAGACGTAAAGTTAGTAGTCTGGATTAAATAATAGGGTACTTTTTATCCCGAAAAAATTTGATATTCCCGAGGGAAAACAAAAGTATTGGTATAGATGGCGCTGTATGTATTGGTATATGTCACATAGGCTACTTTTTATCCTTTTGTGACGCGAGCTAAGCCGCGGGTAAAAGCTAGTGTAATATAAACAATTTAATAAAAATTATTCTGAATTCCTTAACAGCATTGCGGTGTGTTTGTGGTTATTTTACCGGAAGCATGTTGCAACTAAACGGTCTGCTATAATTGTTATGACTACAAATAAACCAATTTGTTATTAAACCATATTATGTAGTATTATTAATTACATATAATTATAGTGTTACCATAATTTTAATTCATTGTACAGTTAAATTTAAAATCAAAACATTTATTTCAATTAAAACATAATTTGGTACCTACTTTTGAAACGTCAACAATACATACAAACATCACGCCTTTTATCCCCGAAGGGGCAGGCAGAGGTGCTCATTACAGCACTTAATGCCACCGTACAATGTAACACCCACCTTTCACTATCTATGTTATGAGTCCCATGTAATAGGGGGTGCGCCTATTGCCATATACCGGGCACAATTCCAGACTCCGTGCTACTAATGAGATTTTTTTAAAAACCCAGTATACCTTTGCCCGACCCAGGAATCGAACCCGAGACTCCAGTCGCACTTGCGACCACTTGGCCAACGAGGTAGTCCTACTAACCTACTTTTGAAATCTCAACAAATACAAAATAAATACTGGTCCGTCAGTGCAGCTAGGAGATCGTTCCATATTGTAGATTCGAATGGAAAAGAACGAGCAAGTCACTCCATTCGTTCTCAACTCAAATTATATAATTCTCATGATTTATGCCGCGAAGAACTTAACGGGTTACCAGGGCTCCGGCTCGAAGTCCAGGAGTAGGAACGGGGTGGTTTGTAGTCAGTAAGAGTCTGACACTCCCACCTCATTCAGGCGGGAAAAGTCATTCGATGATTTTCCCCGTAAAAACAAAAAAAATCTCATGATTTACACCCCTCACAAAAAAAAAAACAAAACGCAATCTGTTGAGTGGGAAGGAGGACCAATCGAACAATACAAAGTTCGAACTTTGAAAATATCAAAGTTTTATTAAAGATATCTTGTTCCTGCTACTTATAAAACAGTATCTGACACGTGTCTGTTGTCAAAGGGATAAGCAGAGAGATAAGTGACAGTTAACAAGCTGCTCCTGCAAGCCACAGAGCAAATTTCTGATTAATGGTACTTGGTACTTAGTAAATATTTGTAGAATAAGAAAAGAAATTTGTGTTGGTAGTTAATATTTAAGAAACTAGCGACCAGCCCCTGTTTCTCACGGGTGCAATATGCATGTATTATACGTATAAACCTTCCTTAAGTATCACTCTATCTATTAAAAAAATTGCATCTAAATGCGTTGCGTAGTTTTAAAGATCTAAGTATACATAGGGACAGACAGACGGCGGATAGCGACTTTGTTTTATACTATGTAGTAATATGTGATACTGAAAAAAAGACAATGCGTGAACTTACTTCATCACTCACGATAAAATCTTGCCATAATTCGCGAAGCACTACTTTTAAGTTGTCTCTTATTTGTATGATACAAAGTGCTATCAGATTCTACAGAAACGACAGTACATACAGTTGTAAACGGAACTCTCGCGAATCACTGACAATAAGAAATAGACAATTTTAATTGTTTTTCGTTTTCGTGTTAAGCCTTTAACTGCCGACAAAAACTGTTAAAGGCTAATCCTCCGCTAGCGTCGGACAACATTGTCCGACACGGCAGCCAATGCGGACAACATTGTCCGACACGGCAGCCAATGCGTTAATCATGCAAAACCAGCCTTGAGCAGTGTACTTTAAAAAAAAATCGTTACCCCACACTAGGATTTTCTCCCGTGTCGTGGGTGCGTTTACAAACATACAAGTTCACATACACATGACACCCAGACCCGGAACAACAATTTGTGGATCACACATAGAGTTGCGCCGTGCGGGAATGGAACACGCGACACGTTGCGTGGCAGCTAGGGATTGCAATCCAGCGGCGTTATCAATCCAGCGGAATTTTTGCTGGATTGACCTGAATCCAGCTGGATCCAGCGCGGATCCAGCAAAACGTGGAACGAAAAAAAAAGACGGCCAAGCCAAGGCCAAGGAAAGCCAAGCTATCGTTTATCTCTGTCTCTTAAGTCTTCATCGTCTTCGCATTCATCACTTTCATCTGTTGCGGCTTGTTCTACTTCCTTATGAGGTTTCTTCTTATATAGCACGTCCATCACAGCCAACTAGTTACCATGAGCGTAGCATAATTGTTGATAACAAGGCAAAACTTTTCCAACTTTTACCATTACGGAGGCGCCATCGGTAGTGATACCAATGATATCTGTTTCCATCACTAAGCCGAAAATATTCAGACTTTCTGACAATAATTCAATGCAGTGTTCGGCAGTGCAGGAGCTATGAATTCTTATTAACCCTAAATTAAAATGTTTATCATCATGGTGCAAGTTGAGATTTATGTATCTATGATTTTTTTGGGAGTTCCACTCGTCAAAACTCAATGAGAATCTTTGTCCTTTTTGCTTTAAATTAGTGAATTGATTTATAAAATTCATTTATAAAATAAACAAACATAAGCGATACAGTTGGTAATGGGGAAAGGGGGGAGCGGCGTTGCCTTCCATGCGGCACGTGCTATGGTGACAGAACGGCAACATTGCCGCGCGGATTCGAAAATGGCGGTAACTCAAAACTAAACAATATAAATTGATAAGTTTGCGGATCCGCATCGCTGGATCAAGATGTATGCTGGATCCAGCATGTTTAAAAAGGCGCTGGATCTAGCTGGATTGCTGTATGCTGGATCCAGCAATTGCAATCCCTAGTGGCAGCTGGTTGTCCAGCCACCGCACTAACCGTGTTGTCATTACAAGTATTATTACACAAAAGAAACATTTAATTCCTAAAATACTTTGATGAAAATAAAACATCCTTTTGACCATCCCCTGTCGGCGGTTTTCGGATACTTCCATTTACACCTCGTATTAGTAACAGTCCTTTAACTTCTTGCTAATATGTTATCAGAATACATTGAAGACAATATATCAATAACTACCTTTTTATTTCTTTCTCCAGATAGGAGCATACTGCTACGCGGAGCTGGGCACCATGATCAGACTGAGTGGAGCTGACTACGCGTACATCATGGAGACGTTTGGACCATTCGCTGCTTTCATCAGGCTCTGGATTGAGTGCATGATCGTCAGGCCTTGCTCACAGGTGAGGAAATATGGAATTATGATGCTCTTATAATAATAAGGACTACTGACATATTATTGGCAAATACGCATATGCAAGAGAAAAATTCATGATATAGGATCTTTTTGAAAATAGATATAAAATCGTATGATCGTAGCTTTCTGCCTCGCACAGCAAAACTGTGGAACGATCCATCGTTGGCGGTATTCCCAAACCGATACGACCCTCAGAGAGCGTATTCCTTTTTAAAAGGCCAGCAACGCACTTGTAACTCTTCTCTTACCATCAGGTGATCTGTCTGCTCGTTTGACTCCTATTCCATAAAAAAAGTAATAGCAATTTGTGTAAATTAAAGAATAGATTGGACTGAGGTAGTGTTGAATGTTTTGTGGTTAGAAAACTATTGGTTTGTTAGAAAATTAACATAGATATATGTATGTACATAAGTAGGTACTCTACTAATGTATGTACTTATTTTGTCTAACTATATTGACATGTGTGACGCAACACTGCTTACATAGGAACAAGTTTCCTATCAACGTTAATTAAATATGGAAACGTTATGTATTTGTGATTGATAAAATACATACACATTGTATTTAAATTATACGATAAGCTTAACGTCACCAAGTCGTATGCACTACCTCACGTGGCTTTTGACTTAGCCATGAGTGCATTCTTTAATAGCCAATGATAATCCACTGCTTACTTAATTTCCTGCCTATGCCTAATGCTTTAATATGCTTGTTTAGCGGACTTAAAAGATTCACACTAATCAGGCTTTTAAGAATCGTGGCCCGTAGGTTTAAGACGCCCACTTCTCATGCATGAGTGTGCAGGCCCGAAACCTAGCAACAGCAAGTACCAATGTGACTTTTTCCAAGTTATATGTACTTTCTAATATTATTTAGACACCGCTGAAAAACGGTGAAGGAAAACATCTTGAGGAAACTTAAGCTTATAATTTTTATATAAGTTTGAAATCGCCAACCCCTATTGAGCAAGCGTGGCGATTAATAGTCAAACCTTCTCCGTGCGAGACGAGGCCTTTGGTAAACGAGGTAACGGATCACCTGATGGTAAGCAACCGGCGCGGTCCATAGACACTCGAGACACCAGAGGCGTTATAAGTTCGTTACCAATCTTTTGGGGATTAGGAATTTGAAGATTATTTCGGATTCAAGGATTGTGGGGATTGGGGAGGGACCGAGGGAGTAATTGAGCTTCCGTTAACCTATTTCACACGCCGAAACACAACGCAAGCGTTATTTCACGTCGGTTTTCTTTTCTGTAAAGCCGTGGATCACTGCGGTCGAGCCGGCCCATTTAAATATATGTATATGAAGTAGGAACTTACATAGGCAAAAAACATGCTGTAGGTATCTAGCAAATAGCACGGAACCCTACGTCAGCAAGTTCGTCTGACATCACATCAGTTTTTTTATGAGCAATAGATGTTTATAGATTTTCATACAAAAAGTCGTACAAATTTCTTCTAGATAACATCGAAGCATTAAATAGCAGTACATACAGCAATGTATTGATTGGACACAATTTGTGTGGGTAGGACGCAAATAGGAGGCTCAAAGCTCAGTAGCTCTCAAACATGTCCTCTTATACAGGGTGTAAACTTAACGCTAGCGAGAAATGCCAACAAAACAAATTGTTAGCGTTTTTTAACACAAGCCTTAAGCGGTTAAATACAACTATTATCACTACATAGTATAAAACAAAGTCGCTATCCGCCGTCTGTCTGTCCCTATGTATGTTTAGATCTTTAAAACTATGTAACGGATTTTGATGCGGTTTTTTTAATACATAGATAGAGTGATTCTTAAGGAAGGTTTATATGTATAATACATGCATATTGCACCCGTGCGAAGCCGAGGCTGGTCGCTAATTACTGATAAAAGAAACATTTAATTTCTTACTTTTATGGATATAAAACTTGTTTTTGACCATCATCTGTCGGTGTTTTTTAGGATCATTACGTTTACATCCAGTATTAAGTGTCACTGGAAGATATTCAGTATTTGCTCTCTTTTTATGGAATTAGGAAATAAATATAATACATTTATTTCCTATGGAATTGGAATAGGATAATGGTTTATATTTATTTCCTAATTCCATAGGATTCATTTCCATATTCCATATTTTGTTTTTGATTCCATAGGATTTCCTATGTAATTAGGAAATAAATGTAAACCATTATCCTAAGAATAACGAGTGTAATAAAATACAAAAACCTAGAACTCCTAAATCTAAAATCTCGTATAAATATTGTCTAACTTCAGAACTTACCATTTAGATCTTATAGACGGATGTATTAATATGATGGATGTTGAAATATTGTCTCCCACGTAAAAATTATTGGGCAAATAATACTTAGAACCTGTACTTTATCCGAAGGTGTCATAAGACCAAGCGACATCACTCTATAATAAACCTGAATCTTTTGAAGTAGGATTTCCAATCCGTATGCCGAGTGTGGACCATATCTTTTTATATTGTAACTTTCGTGAGACATACTAAATAAATTATTATATTTTCGGCTTACTCATGTAGTAATTTGACGAGGAACTCGACTAGTTTCAAGCCATGCTAGAGAGTAGCAGCGCGACAGTCGCCACGTCGCGGGTCGCGAAATGCTGCTCATGAATATGAGCGTCAAATCACTATGTGAGTAACCCGAAAACATAATAATTTACGTATCTTTTTATGTAGAGAAGGCTTTTAGTCCAGCATTGGATTGCCACGGGATTTTTACGAATTAAGCTTTTCACTGCCGACAAAGACTGGTAAAGTCAAATCCTTCGCTAGTGTCAGTCATTATTGTCCATCGGCATCGAATATTAGTTAAAAATCTATATTTCATAACATAACATAACATCACGCCTCTTTACCCCCGAAGGGGTAGGCAGAGGTGCACATTTCGGTACTTAATGCCACTGTACAATGTAACACCCACTTTTCACTATTTATGTTATGAGTCCCATGTAATAAATAGGGGGTGAGCCGATTGCCATTATACCGGGCACGTTTCCAGACTCCGTGCTACTACTGAGATTTTTAAAAACCCAGTAATACTTTGTCCGACCCGGGAATCGGGCACTTGCGACCATTCGGCCAACGAGGCAGTCGTGTTGTCGTGGCAGTTGTACGTGTATGTATAAAACTCCAGACATTAGGGAGTTTTGGGAGGGGGGTGGGGGGGGGGTAAGTGACGCATTCTCTTTGCGTAGGAGAGACAAGTAAGGAATACAAATTACAGCTCCAGACACGGTCAGTAATCTGATTAAAGGCACCATTTCGTTCGTCGAGAAAAGAAGGTCTTTATTATTTATTAAGTGAACTTTTTATTGCTGAAATTTACACTTTATTCTTTGCGTGATAGGTTTGATAATTGCTTTGCTGTGTACTTCCATCGTAATTTGTATGTGTTGGGTAAATACTGAATGAATTGTTGAATGAAAAGTAACAATATAATAATTGTAATTCTTGGATGCTTGTACTATTTTAACACGTTCACTGTGCATGACCCACGGGTGGGGCATGTCGAGTTGCTCATTGTACGTGCATGACCCATCGGTGGGGCATGCCTTTACGAGATTATACGTGCATGCCACACGGATGGGGCTTACATTTACAAGATCATACGTGTATGACCCACGGGTGGGTCAATAAATAAAAATATTATTTATACGAAGGGGGTATACAAAAATTAAAAACAGTGCTATTATAATATCAGTTTTATAACTCATGCAGTAATCAACAATTTTCAGTTACACTTATGGGGATAGCCTCGCTCATCATAGCTGTACAATCAACGTGTTAAGCATCCCTTCAAAAGCGTGGTCCACCCACTCAACATTAGGTAGTTTTCAAAATACAAATAGCTTACAAAATAAACAGTTGCTCATTTATTTCAATAAGACATTTGTCAACGGCAGGATTTTCTTTCTTTAACAAAACAATATGGCCGGCGAGATTTATTTTACAACTCCGTTGACATCTGCTATTGGCGCCCAGCGTGGGACTTTATTTAAATGTTATTTCTGTTGGTATCCTTTATTGTGACTTTATATTGAGTTTTATTTGTATGTAAAGTTTATTGAACAGCAATATTGGAGTCGGAAATAGTTATATATTTTGTTTAGCTTACTGTGAAGGTTTTATTGGCGCCCAACGCGGGACAAAATGTATGTTGGATTTAGTAGGACTGTGGCAGTTGATGTTAGCTGTTAGATTATAATAAGAACAAGATAGTTCTATTGAAATCTAAAATACATGTGTTGCAATACTGTTTAAAAGAATATACGGGTAATATATGGTACTAAGTATGACCAAATTAAAATAGCCATGTATAAACAGAACAAATAAAGAAACAAAAACATATTACAAGAATGGGTAATAATCGACACCAATTTTCTTCATCAGAACACTTCATCTCAACCATAATCGATATCTATTTTCTTCGTTCAGAAAATACTTCATCTTTTCTTACAAAAATACCATTTGATGACAAAGTTCAAGGGATTACTTGTCCATTATATCTACTGTCTCACAGCTTGGGAACTTTGTCACGAATGACGTCATGAACATAGAGTATAGCGAGTAGGAGTATTCTCTGTGTATAGAATAATAATATGTTGATAAGGGGCATCTCAGTGGTAAGAGGGTAAAAAGTTGGTTTTCCCGACTAAGATTTTACCCGACTACGGCGAAGTACTTATTGTGATTTTACTTTAAATCTGGTTTGATAAAATTAAATTTTGCACTATGCTCATTTAGCCAATTAATTTATGTATGTACATAGTGAAAATATTATAGTATGTATCTGAAGTTATACCAGTAGACAGTAGTGCCACCTATGCTCCAATTAAACAATTTCATCAGTCAGAATACTACCAAACAAAGACTTCCCCTTAGTCCTTAGACGTTAGGGGGAGGCCACATAATTAATGTAGTACAATTAGCACATTATCATTTTAATTCACTGCTTCGCACAGTAAAACTGTGGAATGATCTGTCGTCGGTGGTGTTTACAAACCGATACGACCTACAAACCTTCAAAAAAGAGCGTATTCTTTTTAAAAGGCCGGCAACACTTCTGTGACTCCTCTGGTGTTGCAGGTGTCCATGGGCGGCGCTGATTGCTTACCTTCGGCGCTTATCACTTACCCGTCATCTGCCTCCTATATTAAAAAAAAAACTCCAAATGGTACCGTACTCCTTACTTCTATACTCCATGGTCATAGATACAAGATACTGACGTCATCTCTGTTTCCAGGCGATCGTGGCGCTAACGTTCAGCGTGTACGTGTTGAAGCCAATATTCCCTGAATGTGACCCGCCTGAGGATGCCACCAGGTTGCTTGCTGCTTGCTGTATATGTAAGTATCATTTCATATCATGGTTTCATGGTGAAAGTAAACTGTTTGTTTTTGAAATGTGTGATTGTATTGTGAGCTTTTATGAAATGTTCCATCGCGATCACGCCACTGTGGGTAGGTAAGACAAAGACAAAAGCATTTATTTCAATTAATTTTTGGCGTAGTGCGCCGTGTAATTTATAGGCAGACTTTTAAATAAAACTCGTGTTATATTCAATGGCAAACTTATAATCGACTAATTGTCTGTCAAAAAGTGTAACGGCATACAATCACAGCGAGTTAATCATAAAACCATAGACGGTCAATGGCGACCATAAACAATATCAATATTCTCGTCTTAATATATTAAAAGTGGGTCCCATACATATCTCTGATAGTGGGACGCCACAAATTTATAACAACTTAAAACTAATAGTACCAATTTAAAAAAAAATCCTTAACTAGGCACTTTTTAAACGTCAAAAGTTGAATCGTCCGTCCGTCCGTCTGTCTGTCAATCAGCGAAGCTCTGCTCATTCTAAATGTAGTTTCGAATGATGAAGAACAAAAGTATTATGGCGACCATATCAATGAATGCCATTTGTTTCTCTTCAGGTTATATTTAACAGCATTTCACTTACCTTTTTTTTTTTTTTTTTTAAACGTTGCCCCACACTAGGATTTTTTCCTGTGTCGTGGGTGCGTTTACAAACATACAAGTTCACATACACAATGACACCCAGACCCGAAACAACAATCTGTGGATCACACAAAGAGTTGTTCCGTGCGGGAATCGAACCCGCGACACGTTGCGCGGCAGCCAGTTGCCCAGCCACCGCGCCAACCGTGCAGTCAATATTTACCTATTGCTTTTCAAAATCCCTATGAAATATACCCAAACATGAATATAGGTAAATATGTACTTCCAAAAGTTTTCAGAGATTTTGATAATAAAATATACGAAACAAATTGAATTTCGTGTCTGCCAATAAAATGAAATAACCTAATTGATGGAAACCTAATGTCTTGGAGGGAGCATAAAAAAGTAATCAACTCCATAAAATTCGGTACTATTTATTTTAGTCGATTACAAGCAATAAATAGGTACTATTACTTTCAGAAATAAGAAAAAAACAATATGTACCTACCTTAAAAACACTAAGCGCCGGTTTCACCACCTCCATATAAACCTGATAAACTTACGTGACAGATAGTTCATATAAATTCTTAATTCGAATTTATCTGACAGATAGCGGCTATCCAGATATTGTGAAACATGCCCCAAAACTAATAGAGAAAATAAAATAAAATAATTAAAATAAAAGAAAACAAAAAAAAGAAATATCTAACTCTAAAAATTATCCCCATCACAGTCGTGAGGACGGGTGCCAAAAACAATGGCAGTAAAAAAAAAAATACGGTAGTGTACAACTAGTCAAATTAGATACTGTTCTATGAATTTTGTACGAAATACCATCTTGTGACGTCGTGATATTTTGCGTCAGATAGCACACTTATATCTAAAAAAAAATGCTAGAATGAATCGAAAATTATTAAGTACATCGGCAAATCAATGAATGAAAGCGTAACTATTTTTCAATATTTAATTGGACTGAAAAATCAAAATAATTTATGTTTGACCCTAGAATCTACCCAATTCGGTTGTCTTTGATATGAACTGTAAAAGATCCAAGAGCGAAATAATATCGATTTCATGTTCGCCAATCTAAACTGTTAAACTTTCATCCCTGTTTCCACTAATTAAGTTATTGCTCAAACGAATGCCTCCTAGGAAGGTATTTGGAGCGAATTTCTGGCCTCACCACCCTAGTAATCAACTTTGAAGAGACGTGATCTGAATACTGACCGATCTGAAAGTTATTGCGTGAGGCCTATGTTCACCAGAGGACATTCTGCAGCTGATAATTATGTATGATAACGATCTGATGGTATTAAGTCTTAATTCTTACATAAGATACATAATATATAACATCACGCCTTTTATCCCCAAAGGGGTAGGCAGAGCACCAGGGAACTTTTCACTATTTATATTATGAGTCCCATGTAATAGGGGGTGAGCCTATTGACATATACCGGGCACAATTCCAGACTCCGTGCTACTACTGACAATTTTTTTTAAATCCTAGTAATACTTTACCCTACCCGGGAATCGAACCCAAGCCCGGCAGTCGCCCTTGCAAACACCCGGCCAACGAGGCAGTCTTAATTGTTCTGTTATGTTTTCTTATTAATATTACGAAAGTCTGTTAAAGTCTGTTTTCGTCGTTTGGAGAATATAAATTCTGTGACATATAGCAGTTACAATAAATAAAGCATTAAACTTTTATATTATATTGAAAGAAGAAGAAGGTCGTCCTTGTATGTACATCTCACCACCTCTGACGGAGTATGGAAGTTGTGTTAATAAGTTCTGAGACACAATCTAAATAGCTTCCACGTTCCTTTCCGATCTGACTTACGTCACCGCCCCAGTTTTTAGTTTACAAAATGTCCATAAAGAAGAAATGCCTGGATTTATTCGAGAAGATTTTATAATAAATAAAAATAAATAATATTCATGTCAAACGCGTAAACTCGCTTGATGTCTTAAACCAAAACGCATTGAAGTAATGTACAACCCAAAACGAAAGAAAACACGTGCATACTTTACCGAACTCCATCCATTAGGATATTTTGGGCGTTGGGAATCGCGGGACGATCTCCGGCCACCGTAAACACGGGCCTGGCATGGGCAAGCATGGGTAGCTCGCCGCCCGACCAGAACCAGACCTGAGCGTTCGGCGCGTCGCGTTCCGCGCGCGCCTTAAAGAGCCATCAGACCACTACGGATGGGGCCCAATAAGGCTGATGCCGATACGGGGCCGCGAAGAACTTCACGGGTTACCAAGGCTCCGGCTCGAAGTGCAGGAGTAGAAATGGGGTGGTTTTCAGTCAGTAAGAGTCTGACACTCACCCAGGCGGGAGAAGTCATTCGATCGATCCATACAATTCCACATACCTTCTGGCATACACGTCAGTACAGTCACGTCACAATGCTACAAGCTATTTGAATGATCCTCAACTATTGCAATTAAATCATGGTTTCATTATTATTTAGACTTTAAGACAGTTGTAATAGAACTTGTAATCGGTTGTCCCCAGTGCTGCTAACGTTCGTGAACTGCTGGTCAGTGCGAGCAGCCACGAGGGTGCAGGACTGGTTCACATACGCCAAGCTGTTGGCTCTGTTCATCATCATCGCTGCCGGCATCTACCAGCTCTGTAGAGGTAAGTTCATTCATACCATGAACAGTTCGTGACAGCCCTATGCTCACCTAAATTAGAAGGTTTGCCATCAAGACGACTGCAGTTTAAAATATTCAGTTTAGAGGTTTTTAGCCATTGTCATCAACATTTTTTTTATTTGCGACTTGAAGAAACTATTTGTGACGATGAGATCCTTATTCAAATATTCTGATTACCTTTTATCTATTTAGAATGCAAAAGATAAGGCCACCCAAATCTCACTGGATGAGTATTGCGGTTGTTTGAGGAACCCACTCTGATGAAGACCCCATTTAATTTTTGTTACTTTCTTCTTTTTTGGTCGATCTTTTAGGTACTTAATTACATAACTAATTCAACAACTTTGTTAACAAATCACACATAGATCGGTCGTATTTTTGGGAACAGACTGACTCATAGTTCAGGCGTCATGGGGGCGTCCTGTGTCCTTGAAATCGCGACAGACCTTCATCCGCAGATTCTCATTTCATTGACTAATTACTTACAACGATGAATCTATCTCGGCGATTGTAAAGGTAATTGTAAAGTTTTCGCAGAAACAATTGCTCAATTACTGATTAAACAAATTGTTTAACCTTGGACGTTTAAAAACACTTGTTTAAATAAGTGTTAGTTACTTACTTGTGTATTTTAACAAGTATTTTGTATGTAGGTGTCATTATTCGAATGACCTATATTTTAGGTGAATGAGCTACAAATATTTTTGTTTTGCAAAAATATGAATGGAGTTAATTACGTACTTAACTGACTAGTATTATTTTTCGATGCATTTCAATCAACACAAAACAAATATTCAAACACGTCATGAGCCAATATTAACATAAGATTAACAGCGCCAGTATTTCCTGAAAAAAGTACTTATAGTCTAGGTCCTAAATATAAAGAAAGAAAAAACATTTATTCAGCACCAGGCACAATGCAGCATAATACCTTACTAATATTACTAATATTATAAATCGGAAAGTGAGTTTGTTTGTTCCGCTTTAAGGCCGTAACTACTAAACCGATTGCTTTGAATTTTTGCAGACGTAAAGTTAGAAGTCCGGATTAAATAATAGGGTACTTTTTATCCGGGAAAAATTTGGTATTCTCGAGGAACTAAAATAAAAACGAAATTATTGGTATAGATGGCGCTGTGTGTATTGGCATATGTCACATAGGCTTTTTATCCTTGTGTGATGCGTGCAAAGCCGCGAGTAAAAGCTAGTAAAATATAAAAAAGACAAAAAAGGTGTGACAGTGGAAGTAATAAAAACATTGGGTTGAAAAATTAAAACAGAAGATATGGTCCTAGGTATAGTCTCTAAATCCTAGACTATAAGTAGAACAATGTTTTAGAGACAAAAACAATTTGGTTTATTTAATTACATTTCTTATAGATTTTTAAATACAATTAGATACCAAAGCCTTTTCAATTTTCTCACATTTTCAATATTTTTACCACACATGTCCATAACATCACGCCTTTTATGCCCGAAGGGATAGGCAGAGGTGTACATGCCACTGTACAATGTAACACCCACTTTTCACGGTTTATGTTATGAGTCCCATGTAATTGGGGGTGAGCCTATTGCCATAAACCGGGCACAATTCCAGACACCGTGCTACTACTGTGAATTATTTGAAAAACCAAGTAATACTTTGCCCGACCCGGGAATCGAACCCCAGACCCCTTGCCCGGCAGTCGCACTTGCGACCACTCGGCCAATAAGGCAGTCATGTTTAATTGCATAAAAAATTGCGAACACTAAATCCATGAACGAGAGGAGAGACAATAGTTTGTGATGAATATTAATATTATGTGGCAAATGCCTTTGCCCTGCAGTGGGATAATGGCTGAAAATAAAATTCCAATAACAATACACTTTTGCTCTTAAAACCAAATAAAATCATTAACAAACTGTATAGTTCTACAAAGTAACACTAGACAGTCGGCTGGGGAATTTGATTGCGTTACAACAATTACTCAATAATCAAGTGTTCGGACTGCGATAGTTTAAACTTGACCATGATCCACTTACGTTTATGCAAATATTACACGACTTAGAAAATTGATACAGCTGTTACATCATTAATTTTTATTGTTGTTTTATTGTAATTTCTATGTGGTAGGTGTTTTGTGAACTGATTTAGTAAAATATAAAATTTTGGATATATTCGTGTTGATTAACTACTAACATTTACTTCATATTACTATTCCACTGATTGCCTTATTGGCCGAGTGGTTGCAAGTGCGACTGCCTTGCAAGGGGTCTCGGGTTCGATTCCCGGGTCGGGTTAAGTATTATTGGGTTTTTCAAAAAATTCACAGTAGTAGCACGGAGTCTGGAATTGTGCCCGGTATATGGCAATAGGCTCACATCTTATTACATGGGACTCATAACATAAATAGTGAAAAGTGGGTGTTACATTGTACAGTGGCATACCTTCGGGGATAAAAGGCGTGATGTTATGTTATGTTATGTATTACTATTCAAGTCCCAAGTGAACAGGTACAGTGCTTGTATAAGTAGGCTATTGACTTACACGCAGAACATACACACATTGACACGAAGGACATCTGTCATTTTCTTAAGTGTGCTAACGTGGTAACTAGGGTTGCCACCTTTTTTTGGTATTTAAAGTACATTGACGATTATAGGTACGAAAAAAAAAGTATACAGTACAAAAATAAAGTATGTACCATGTATTCTTATTTAGTGTTTAATATATTTAAAAATATATATTTTATTAATTTTTGCAGTTTGTATTAACTCGTCGAGTACCGGTTTTATAGACACAATTAAAGAACAATAGGTCGCGGTCACCGGTGACCGCTTGGTGTTTGACAGTTTAAATTAGTATCTTTTCTAAACAATTGCATTGAAATACTAAACAATTGCATCTTTACTAGAAATTGTCTAAGTGGCGCTGGCGGTCTAAATCGATTCAACATAAATCGATAAGTTTACCGAAAAATACTTACGACTTTTATAGAAATGAAGTTTGCAAAAATAAAGTATTTTCGTGTACTTTATTATTCTTATAAAGTATAGAGTACCTACAATTACCTTAAATAACGTACAATACTTTATTATAAAGTACGGGTGGCAACCCTAGTGGTAACCCATGACACACGCACACATGAAAAGCTACTGATATTTTGGTGCTTCAATCACTTGTAAGTGACATTACCTCCGCGTTTTGTTCAATGTCCTTGATTGTAGGTTCTTTCTAGTTGCAATTATGTAGTGACGCAAATTGGCATAGGTTTCTTTTTTATTTTATTTTGATCGAGTATTTTAATAATAGGTGGGTATTATTAAATGGGGTTGTGGTTGCATAAGTACTAATTTTAATTTAGACCCAATATTTCTAAGTATTGTTTTTTCCTTATCGTGGGGAATACTTACGAACCATTTTTATCGATAAAGGAAACGCCTAAATTCTTTTATAATAATGAGGATAATGGGTTAGTTACTATAGTACAGTCCTTTATAATTCATTTTTGCAAAATATAAAAGATAATTCTATGTAAGTATATAAAAATGAATATCTTTTTCCCTTGGTCGCGGCATCACGCGTGAATGGCTGGACCGATTTCACTAATTCTTTTTTTTGTTGTATTTGTTATTATTAGGAGAAGGTTCCTAAGACAGAAAGAACGGGATTGCCCGTACGAAGTCGCGGGCAGAAGCTAGTATTTATATAAAAATTGATATGACCATTTTTGCTATCGAATTTTATAAGGAAGTTGGTTAACGGACTCGTAAATGTGTACAAATTAGGATGAAGTCTATACGTGTTAAACATATTGGATACGTTTTTAAATTTAAGTACATCATATCCACAATTTCTATGGGCGTGATTCCTGAGAAAATCTCGCCCTTGTACAAAATAGGACTAACATCGTAAAAAATTAACTGACGAAAAGTGTGCAGGACCTAGCCTATGTAATTCAGGACATCAGTAAAACAAGGAAAACAAAACATGTCTTAAAAGCACAAAACATAGCACCCATATTCAAGACTGTACGACCAGCTTTAATAAAAATATTGTCAATTGCAGAAACTCCTTGGTAATGAGTTCAAGTCGATATGATAGCGAGCTATTTCTATTGATAAAGGGAGCAATCCTCGAGTAAATTGAATTCAGCATCAATACAAAGCTCCGAAGATTGCTTATTGGAAGTGTTCAAGGGAAGTTAATTGATTTCTGCTCAATGGTGACGGGAATTTGAGAAGTATTTGATAGATGACTGGTTGAAATATTGTTGTTGTATTTCATCAGTATTTGAAGTGAGGGCCGGCTAGAAGTGATACCACGACCTCACAGAAAACCGACGTGAAACCACGCTTGCGTTGTGTTTTGTCGTGTGAGTAGGGTTACTTACACGACGAGGAGATTCGGAGGAGGTTATACAATATTCCTCAAATTTTTAATCCCCAAAAGACCGGTAACGCACTTGTAACACCTCTGGTGTTTCAAATGTCTATGGGCGGCGCCGATTGCTTATCATCAGGTGATCCGTCTGCTTGTTTACCGGCTTATTCCATAAAAAAAGAAAAAATAATGAGACGTAAATAAATATCTCACTGCTGGTAAAGACGTATTCTCACAAGGAGAACGAATGAGCATTAATCACTATACTTGCTCAAAGCAGGTGACTTATACATTTTAAAAAAATACTTAGGTACAACTTGGTTGCTCAAACCATATCGTAGATAGATAGTTGGGGATTTTTTTTAAGGGGGGAAAATTATCGATTGACTACACCCGCCTGGGTGAGGCGAAAGGGAGTGTCAGACTCCTACTGACTAAAAACCACCCCGTTCCTTCTCCTGCACGTCGAGCCGGAGCCCCGGTAACCCGTTAGGTTCTCCGCGGCAGATAGTTGGGGATTGGGGTGGTTTTAGTCACTTAGAGTCTGACATTCCATCTCACCTTACCCAGGGCAGAAGAAGTCATTGAACGATTTTAACGTACAAACACGAAACAAAAATAACGTAGTTGTAATTTTTTACTTAGGAATGTTTAAACCTCCCTCTATTACAGTATAATAATAAGACAAGATACTTAGATAGATAACTTATGAATATTCAATATGATTAGTACGTAACCATTGAATAGAGTTTCGTTTAGTAGGTAGTAAGTGTTGCAGTTCTACAAAAAATATTATGAATTGATTTCTCAGTATCTACTTAATCTTTACCTAGTAAGAGGGACTCTACCTGCACAAATAATAAACTTATGTTGAGGTAAAATTGACGTAAATTGGCGGCTGATGCAAACTCTGAGACGGTTTAGAACAGACTTGGCCCAATCACTGTCTCTGGTTCCCATTGGGGATGATGACAGGGTATGAAAATTAAAAATATAATTAGTCCGTAAGTTAGGTAATGAAAAAATATTAGACACGTATTTTTTTATTTTGTCGTATAATAAAACAATACTTAGATAAAATAATAATAATAATAATAATAAAGCCCGCAGGGCACCTTGAGGCGAGGTGACGGGCATTAGCGATCCCGCGGGCTACCATCATCCCGAGTGCTCCAGGGAGAAGTCACCGTTCCTTCTTCTCCGGCTTGCCTTAATTGGCTGGCTGGAGTGAACGATGACAAGGAACAGGTCTCCCACCTCTGGCTTGCCTTCATTGGCCGTCCAGAGTGGAGTCGCGAGAGCAGTGATCCTGCTCGGAGGGTAAGAAACTATTCGTAAGTCGCGAGTGGGCCAGGGATGCAGGAGGCTTCGGCTGGAGCAGATGATCTGAGTAGAAAGCGGTGGTAGTTTCTTAACCCTTCAGCCACTCACATTCTCGTTGCCCCTCTGTTGCTATATCTAGCAACCATTCCCGGGGCCCGGTCGGTGAGTTGGCGAGTCTCCGCCTGCCATTTTTACGTGTAAAAATTACATTGTTTCGGCAGGTGCCATAGTCATCCATAGTTCCCAATTTACCAGTCCACAGCAACCCATCCATAGCCCTACCTTTTTTTTTCTTTTATTCACAATAGTTCTACACTAACCGGGGACTGTCCTTGGATGCATTTCCATAGTGCATACAGGGATAGTCGCCGGTTTGTGTGTCCATTACATTTATATTAAAGTTGTCTAAAGGGCCTCTGCGCAGTTTGCTTCGGCCCCTCGTACGCCTCCCAAATGACCGGGACCCTGTGGTCCCGTGAATGGTAAAGACATACATAATAATAATAATAAGTTTATTTAGCAAAAAGTTACAGAAATGTACATACATAAGTAGCCATAACAAGTGGGTAGACTAATTCTAGGCATTACAATTTGTTGTAAAGATTTCTGTACAGAATTATAGTAACCCTGCCTCTTAAACTAGGATATCCTGTATTTTAAGAGACAGTGTCTAGCTTATAAATTTACCATTTTTATACAACAGTGGACGGTGTCGATCTACCGTTTAAACTTGACAGCAGTAATAGTTGTGAGTGTACGAGTAGAATGTGGAGTGGATGTGTAGTGGTGTGATGTGGTATCTGTTTGTTGTGGTTTTGTGTATGTGAATATAGGGGTGAGTGTGTGTGGATGTATGTGTGAATATTTTTGTAGTGTACGGTTCTACATTTAGGCGATATAAGTAAGTAAAGACTCCGTGTATGAGTAGTCTTTCTGTAGTAGCCACTCTGTTATTGTTTGTTTTAATGTGTGTGAGTTTAAATCTATAATTTTTAGATGTTTGTGAACTTTTTTGTAGATGTGACCACTTAGGGTATAAAACCACTTAGGGTATAAAACGAATCAAAGTTTAGGAGTGGGGGCTAAAACGTCATTTCTTAGTACAAAATGTACTGAGAAGTGACGTCACGCGACATTTCAAATCAATATATCTTCGAAACTATTCGTTTCTGTGAGAAAAGAAAAAATACGTGTCTAATGTTTTTAAATAATCTATCAGACGGACATTAAAATAAAAATTAGTCGTCTACCCTAACTCCTAAAAGCTACATACCTTTTCCAGTACCTATTGTGGGTGTCCATGGGCGGCATGGGAGTGCGCTGCCCTATCGCATTAAAAATACCTATGAATTAATAATGTTTTGTTCTCATTTAACTGTTTGATGCGGAACTCGACTAGTTTTAAGCCATGCTAGAGGCTCATATTCATGAGCAGCATTCCGCGACACGCGACGCGGCGACTGTCGCCGAATTAGTCGAGTTCCTCGTCAAACAGTTACGTGAGTAAGCCGAAAACATCCTTACTTCCTTACTAATATTATAAATCTGAAAGTGAGTTTGCTTGTTCCACCTTCACGCCGTAACTACTCAACCGATTGCTTTGATTTTTTGCAGACGTAAAGTTAGAAGTCCGGATTAAATAATAGGGTACTTTTTAACCCGGAAAAATTGATATTCCCGAGGAAAAACAAAAGTATTGGTATAGATGGCGCTGTGTGTATTGGTATATGTCACATAGGCTACTTTTTATTCTTTTGTAACGCGAGCGAAGCCGCGGGTAAAAGCTAGTAATCATTAATTGAGTATGTCTCACGAAAGCTTTAATATAAGTACCTATGAATATGTTTTTCATGAACATCGACTTAAACTCTTGCAAGATACCTTACAAAATGAACTTTAATTCAGTAACCAAGGCAACAGTCTAAGAACGAAACTGCACAATGCACAAATAAGATCCAATTCACACTTCCTCTGATGCGTGGGCGCCGCCGTCGTCAGCACAAAGCCCGTTATTAAATGATTGCTGCAATCCGGGACCTGGTCTCGTGTGAAACGAGATTACAATAGTCTGGACTATAATGGAGGATATTGGCTAGGATTGTGCTGGAATAATGGTTGTGATGTATCGATGTCCATTGAGGTCCATTGCAAATTGGCGCTGAATGAGCAGTATGAGGTCTCAGTCATTCTATAAGTGTGAATAAAGAGTTTTTTATTGCCATTTTTGTAGGATACTGCTATTCTTTCTTTTCTTCTTTCCAGTAAACATACATAAATAAATACCTAAACAATTCTTTTTTATTTAAAAATATGAGCAGTGATTACACATTCTACATTATTATTGTTCTGACATTCATGTGTCTGAACAAGGTTCGAAACCTGTACTTCAGGCAGTAAAGTAAAGAGCGCTTAGCATAGAAAACTTAAGTTCTAAATTAACAATTATAACGCACTTGTATCTCTTAAGGTATTGGGGGTGTCCATGGGCGGGTATGGTCGATCCCAATCTCAAGAAAAACATTTTGAGTTGGAGTACTCGTGACATTTTGCTCATCCTCCCATCTGATCCGTACCCTACGGAATCCTTATATCAGTTGCTGGAGCTGTATTTAAATGTCCTCGATTTGCCAACCAGTTTTTATTAAGACCTGAACCGACAAAAAGTACAAAATAGAAAAAGTAAATATTGTTACCGTGCTTCAGGAGAGCATTGTCTTACACTAATACTTTTGATTCTCTGTAAATAGTTTTGCGAGCTGCATTGCCCGCTGTTATAAAATACTAGCTACATCCGCGCGGTTTTACACGCTCTGCTCAGCTCCTATTGGTCGTAGCGTGATATTTTATAGCCTATAGTCACCCTCGATAAATGCGCTATCCAACACAAAAAGAATTATTCAAATCAGACTTGTAGTTACGGAGATTAGCGCGTTCAAACAAACAAACAAAAAAATAAACTCTTCCGCTTTATACCTCTATAATTATAAAATAAAATATGAAACTCAATTTTGAATGTCTCTTCTTTCCAGGAGAGGTGCAGCACTTCACGTTTGAGGGAACCACCAACGATGTGACTTCTATCGCGCTCTCCTTCTACTCTGGACTCTTCGCTTACAACGGATGGTAAGGCTTTTTTTCCTCTATTCCATCGCTGGACATCATCTATATCAGCCAAGGTTTCTGCGAACTTAATGACTACACCGTAGGTGCAGTGGCTGAACTAATGGTTGCTGCGTAACTTGTCGTGGAATCGATTCCCGTATAAAACAAATTGAAACAATTCTTAGTGGCTCAGTGCAAGACAAACTTTATATTCTAGAAAATAAGTTGATCCACCTATAATCCCAACTGGACCTATATATACAGATAAATAAAATTCGAGTGCCTGTTTGTGATATTAAAATAATCGCTTTTTACTACATACATAATTATGAATATACATACGATACACATACCAAAATAATAATTCTTACAATTCATGTCTGTCTGCTTGTACTGGCTAGTCTCTGGAATGGGTGGACCGATTCTGCAAGACTTTTATTGGCAGGTAGTTGTAGCTGATGTAGGTACTAAGGAGTGACATAGGCTATTTTATTTTATTTGGGAAAAATTGACGTTAAGTTCTAAAACTCATATAGGTACTACGCGGATAAAGTCGCGGGCAACAGCTAGTTCTAAATATACATGTACCTACATATTTCAATTACTTCAATAACTGCAATGAAAGTCAAGAGGTTCTTTAGAAGTCAATAACTTATGAATAGCTTTGAATATACTTTGTTCATACTAATGTCATGTTGTTGTTGATGTTGAATGAATTGACAAACAAAACAAAACATTTAATATTAAACATTGTTAAAGGCAGCATGAAACGCAAGAAATACACTTTTCACAAACTTGCGAAATATCGTAATATTATTATTAGCTGGACCCGGAACGATTTGAACTCTAAAGTCCCAGATAGGTGCACAAGAAACTATACCTTATCATGAGTATATAAGACTTTAATTACCCTCTAGCTAATTAATATCATATAACTAGCTTCTGCCTGCGACTTCGTACGCGCAATCCTGTTTTCATATTCTTCATAAGAACCACATAATATCACGCCTTTTTATCCCCGAAGGGGTAGGCAGAGGTGTACATTTCGGCACTTATTGCCACTGTACAATGTAACACCCACTTTTCACTATTTATGTTATTAGTCCCATGTAATGGCTCACCCCCTGAGCCTATTGCCATATACCGGGCACATTTCCAGACTCCGTGCTCCTACTGAGGTTTTTACAAACTTAGCAATACTTTGCTCGACCCGGGAATCGAACCCGAGCCCCCTTGCCCGGCAGTCGCACTTGCGACCACTCGGCCAACGAGACAGTCATAAGAATCTTCTCCTAATAATAAGAAATACAATAAAAAAGAATTAGTGAAATCGGTCCAGCCATACACGCGTGATGCCGTGACCAAGGGAAAAAGGGATTCATTTTAACAAATATGTGTATAGATTATTGTGCGTTTCAAAATGGTCGCGGTTTAAGACCTTTAACCAGTATTTAACCCTTTGAGTACCGTCATTATAGACACAATTAAAGAACAATAGGTTGCGGTCACCGGTGTCCTCGCGGTGTTTGACAGTTTAAATAAAAAAATCACCTATTAAACTATTCCAGGAACTACCTGAACTTCATAATCGAGGAGTTGAAGGATCCAGTGAGGAACCTGCCCCGAGCTATCGCCATCTCCTGCACCCTGGTCACCGTGGTCTACACATTCACGAACGTCGCGTTCTACACTACACTCTCTCCTACTGAAGTAAGCAGCTACATTTTTTATTTATATTATTTAACTAGCTTTTACCCGCGGTTTCGCTCGCGTCACAAAAGAATAAAAAGTAGCCTATGTGACATATACCAATACACACAGCGCCATCTATACCAATACTTTTGTTTTTCCTCGGGAATATCAATTTTTCCGGGTTAGAAAGTACCCTATTATTTAATCCAGACTTCTAACTTTACGTGAGCAAAAATTCAAAGCAATCGGTTGAGTAGTTACGGCGTGAAGGTGGAACAAACAAACAAACTCACTTTCAGATTTATAATATTAGTAAGGATTAGCTGACCCGCACACAATTCGTGGACGGTAAACAGCCCATGTCACTGTCCATCCTTTTAACTATCTCCATTTAAAAAAAGAAACGAAAAAAGGACTGCCTCGTTGGCCGAGTGTTCGCAAATGCGACTGCCGGGCAAGGGGTCTCGGGTTCGATTCCCAGGTCGGGCAAAGTATTACTGAGTTTTTAAAAATCTCAGTAGTAGCACAGAGTCTGGAAATGTGCCCGATATATGGCAATAGGCTCACCCCCTATTATACATGGTACTCATAACATAAATAGTGAAAAGTAGGTGTTACATTGTACAGTGGCATTAAGTGCCGCAATGTGCACCTCTGCCAACCCCTTCGGGGATGGCAAAAGGCGTGATGTTATGTAAAAAAAGTCAATTCGTCACTCCATTTTGCCGGAAAAGATGAACAAACCCATAGACACACAATCACTTTCCTATTTATAATATTAGTATAGATTTTCTATTCATAACATGTATAGTACAGTTAGTTGCTGACTATACTAACATAACTAAAATGTTTTCCGAAAAACTTAGTCGAAAAGTAGTTTGTATTATAAGTTTCGTGAGACATACTAAATAAATTATTATGTTTTCGGCTTACTCACGTACTTAATTATTTGACGAGAAACTCGACTAGTTTCAAGCCATGCTAGATGTTCATATTCATGAACAGCATTTCGCGACCCGCGACGCGGCGACTGTCGAGTACAGAGTAGATTTTATTTTAATGTCCGTCTGGTAGATTAATTTAAAACATTAGACACGTATTTTTTTTTTTCTCACAAAATTAAATACTTTCGACGTTATAATAATCTGAAATATCGTGTGACGTCACAATGCGCTACATTTTGTAACACATTATAACGTAACAACCTCCCACTCCTAAACTTAAATCCATTTTATCCATATTGTAACTTTATACGAGAAAATAAAAAAATAGGTACGTGTCTAATATTTTTTCATTATCTAACTGACGGACTAATTACATTTTTAATTTTCATTCCCTGGCAACTACCCTTATATGCCTTGTGGTATCCCTTTAAGTAACATAACTTACGGACTAAATAGATTTTTAATTTTCATGCAATGGTATCATCCCTATTAGTGTGACACACCTACTAGGTGCATACCGGACTCCAACTTTGGACCAACGAAACATTACAGTTCTCGAATTGCCCATTTAAAATTAATAATTTATTACACTTAAGTAGTTAACACTTAAGTTTAATTATTATTGATAGAAGACTTCATATTTTTGCGATTCAACGTGGTTCTACGTAGCAAGTCAAAGAACGTTGAAGGTTAGCCGTAAACAATTACTATGATTGCTTCGCTTTACACCAAAAGTAATAGGTATCCGATACACGCGACCTTCACTCAATGACGGTTGCCAAATAAAAATGTAACATAGCATAACATCACGCCTTTTATCCCCGAAGGGGTAGGCAGAGGTGCACATTATACCACTGTACAATGTAACACCCACTTCTCACTATTTATGTTATGAGTCCCATGTAATAGGGGGTAGCCTATTGCCATATATACCGGGCACAATTCCAGACTCCGTGCTACTACTGAGAATATTTAAAAACCCAGTAATCTTTGCCCGACCCGGGAATCGAACCCGATACTCCTTGCCCGGCAGTAGCACTTACGACTCAACGACGACAACGAGGCAGGCAGTCAATAAAAATGTATCAAATACTAAATACTTTATTTTTTAGAAACATGATTTTGGTAGAGCAGCGCCAAGTTTACAAAACGTGTCTGTGGTGTGTTAAGTATCATGTTTTGTTATGTTCTCATCCATTTTTATAATTGTAAATCAATACATAGTATAAAACAAAGTCGCTTTCGCTGTATGTCCGTATGTATGCTTAGATCTTTAAAACTACGCAACGGATTTTGATGCGGTTTTTTTTAATAGATAGAGTGATTCTTAAGGAAGGTTTGTATGTATATACATATTGCACCCGTGCGAAGCCGGGGCGGGTCGCTAGTGAAATATAAAGTAAGATGAGAGAAAAGGTTGGTAGATGGAGATCCTTAATAAATACTTACTTCACTGATCAATGGGTATTTACTAGCGAAACTATATAGAGAGAAACACTCAAAGAGATTCACGTGGCGTCTTAGTTATGGAAAAATGAAGTACAATATGTTCTTAGTAGCTTTTTCTCTTTTGGCTAATATTGTGTTCATCAACAGGTCCTCGGATCTGCGGCGGTTGCTGTAACGTTCGCGGAGCGTCTGTTCGGTTGGTTTGCTCTCTCCATTCCGCTGTTCGTCGCTGCTTCTACCTTCGGAGCCGTCAATGGTGTACTTCTTACTTCTTCAAGGTAACCATCTTTCTAAGCATAAAATCTATGGTGAAAAGTTATGAAGTTTTAGGCAAAAAATAATAGGAAATCTATTCGAAGAATAAAAACTTCCAGGAAGTAAATAAAAAAATAATAAAAAAAATAGAAGTTGAAATATTAATAAACAAAATACACCCTGCAAACCGAAATGTCTGTATGATGATATTTGCTGTCTAGCACTAGCACCTTCATTCAAGATTTAAATGATTCACAAGTAAATATGTTGAAAAATGTCTGTTTTGAGTAGTTTTTAGTCAGAAAACGTTCAATTTTTATAACTATCATCATCTCGCGGTCCGCGCGCACCTTAAAGACCCATCAGACCACCACGGATGGGGCCCAACAGGGCTGATACCGATAAGGAGCCGCGGAGGACTTAACGGGTTGCCGGGGCTCCGACTCGAAGTGTGGAAGTAAGAACGGAGTGGTTTTTAGTCAGTAAGAGTCTGACACTCCCTCCCGCCGCACCCAGGTGGGAGAATCCATTCGATGACTTTCGCCCCTTAAAAAATAATATCTTTTTATCTACAGACTGTTTTACGCGGGTGCAGCTCAAGGACAGATGCCGGAGATGTTGACGATGGTGAGCGCGCGAGCGACGCCGGCGGCCGCAGTACTCGCTGTAGCATTGCTCAGTCTGGTCTACCTCACAGTCTCCGATATTTACGCACTCATCAACTACGTCGGCTTCGCTACCTGGGTAAGTAGCACTACTTTTTAAGAATAGACAGAGAAAAGATTGGAAAGAAAACTAGTCATTGCCGACATAATAAGACTAAGTAGTCTAGCTATGTCGGCAATGTACCTACTTAGGTACATACAAGTCATGCTAGGAATTCATAATCATAGTCATGAGCATTGGGCTCAATTAAATAAAGAGATTTTTCTCCGTTTGAGAACAAAACTTTCCAAAGTGTTGGTGCTACTTCCTAAAGATTTTAAGCATTGACTAAACAATTTACGGCACTCTTCACTTTTACTAAATTGGTCCAAATCTTAAGAATCGTTGTGTTGTGTCCATATTATAAACCATAGTTTCTTCGGTACCCATTTTTGAATAAAATTTCTCTTCCATTACAGTTAAGTATCGGCGCTGCAGTACTGTGCTTACCGGTGTTGAGGTACACACAACCCAATCTCGAACGACCCATCAAAGTGAACCTCTTCTTCCCCGGTAAGTCAAATATCATCTGTTTCATCTTTAACAAATGGTGGGAAAACTGTGTTCAAGGGGGTTATGTTCTTAAAATATAGAAAAAAATAAAGAAGGCATGTAGTTATTAGCGAAAAATCTCTACAATAATGATTTAACTCGTCGAGTACCGTATTTATAGACACAATTAAAGAACAATAGGTTGCGGTCACCGGTGACCGCTTGGTGTTCGACAGTTTAATGCTCTAGAGTCTAGTTGGTTAATTTAGCAATTCGTGTACCACTTACACATTGAAAGACTTTAGACTGTTTTTATAATAACTATCGTGAGACATACAAAATTAACTAAAAATCGCGGGTTACTCACGTGAATATACTGAGAAAAGCTCTACTAGTTTCGAATCACAGAGGGGTTCTTCCTCATGAGCAGCATGCGCGGTCGCGGCAATGTCGACATCGAAACTAGTAGAGCTTTTCTCAGTATAATCACGTGAGTAACTCGCGATTTTTAGTTAATTTAGACTGTAGACTGTCTATGAAAAGTACGGTTCGTGATATTGTGTTTCTATATAATATGTATTTCGAGAGGACATCTTTGTGATTAATTCTTTTTGCGTGCTAGTCTAGTAGGTGGCACAATTTGCCTACCATTGACTTTACTCTTGAACCGAAAACTTCAACTAAGCTATGTATATCTTTCAATTCCAGTGATCTACATAATCTGCACAATCCTGGTGGTGGCGTTCCCTGCCTTCGCATCTCCCGCGGAGACAGGCGTGGGATGTCTGATGATCCTCACTGCCGTGCCGGTATACCTACTGCTGCTGCATCCCAGGACCAGGATCAAGTGGCTCAGCTCCATCACTAGTAAGTAACATAAGTCATTGGAGAATAAGATAGCGTTATTTAAAGACAATAGACTTTTTATGCTGGTAAATAGATGGACTACCTGATGGTAAGTAATTGGCGCCGTCCATTGACATCCGAAACACCAGTGGCGTTACAAGTGTGTTGCCAGCCTTTTGGGTATTAAGAATTTGCGAATTGTTAGGGATTCGGAGATTAGGGAGGTGGGTAATTGGGGCTACCGTAACCTCACTTAAACGACGAAACACAATGCAAGCGTTGTTTTACGTCGGTTTTCTGCTCGGCCGTGGTATAACTCCGGTTGAGCCGGCCCATTCGCTCTCCCATCTGTGTTTTCCACTTGTAATTCTATAATAATAAGGTCGACTAATTAGCATCGTAAACTTAATGTGATGTATATTTTTAATTTCAACATTATTAGTATTAATTTATCAGTACAGACTACCTCGTTGGCCGAGTGGCAAATGCGACTGCCGGGCAAGGGGTCTCGGGTTAGATTCCCGGGTCGGGCAAAGTATTACTGGGTTTCTACAAAATTCTCATTAGTAGCACGGAGTCTGGAATTGTGCCCGATATATGGCAATAGGCTCATCCCCTATTACATGGGACTCATAACATAAATAGTGAAAAGTGGGTGTTACATTGTACAGTGGCATAATGTGCACCTCTGCCCTCTCGGGAATAAAAGGCGTGATGATGTTATGTTATGTATCCAGTAATACATGTGTTCATTTACTTTATATTCTTTTGCAGATCTTGCCACCGTCCTCGTGCAAAAGCTGACTTTATCATCGCGACCCAAAATGAAGGTAAGAAACATTTAATTATACAACAATTGAGATGATGACAGGGTATGAAAATTAAAAATATAATCAGTCCGTGCGTTAGGTGTTGAAAAAATATTAGACACATATTTTTTTATTTTGTCATATAATAAAACGACTCAAAGTTTAGGAGTGGGGGCTAAAACATCATTTCGTACTTCGTGACGTCACTTCTACGTATAAAATGTACATAGAAGTGACGTCACGCGACATTTCAGATCAATATATCGTCGAATTATTCGTTTCTGTAAGAAAATAAAAAATACGTGTGTAATGATTTAAAATAATCTTCCAGACAGACATTAAAATAAAAATTAGGCCTATTGCAGTTTGATTAAGATAATAATATAAGCTAATTTAAAGTACTTTTTGTTAAAGACTAATCTGTTTAATTTTTATTTACAGTGAACGCATTCAACGAAATCAGCTTTCGACAACATATCCGACCATCGGTAAGGCCGCTCTACTTGTCTGTTTTATCATGAGAGTACAAGAACAACAATTAATAATAATAATATTATACCTCATTTTAAAATTAAAAAAAAAAACGCGACAGCTTTGCTTAGACTTGGCGATGCACTACCGTGCCTCTAGGAAATGAAACTGTTTTATTCAATGGTAAAACAGCCAAGTGTATGAGTACTTTTATATGAAGAATACTGTTATTATAATACATATATCTATTTAATGTGTATGATATAGATCGAAGTTCTATAATTGCGATTAATATTTGCATGAAATCAGTCGCAGTATTGAACGATCGACTTGTTATATGGTTTAAATAACTTATTAATGTACTCAATTATGAAATGTATAATTATAACAATTTGTGTATTACGTCATATTTGTAATAATTCATCAGTTTAAAGTACATTCCGATGATATTTTGTGGGCTTATTGAGTTCTTTACAAGATGGATCTTCGGGGCTGACATGTTCCTGAACGAAAAGTCCCTAAAACCATAGATAATAAAAAAGATGGATCTTACTTAATATCTGTGTATGTTGGTAATTTATGTATTAATAGTCCCTTCCTTATATCGAAACGATGTATAATTACTGTTCGACATAAAAATACTGCCATTATACTATTTTTTTATTATAGTAATGAATGTTATGATTTAAGGATGTTGGCAACTGAAGATGAAAATGAGTAGGTAGTAAGAAAATAAGCTTGAAATATTATACTGGTGTGTATAAACTAATAATTTAAATTCAGGGTGTTTGTACGTGTCTAGCAATTTGTGGGAGAATTTAGTGGAAAGGTTCACTGACATTTTTTCTTCATTTGCTCTCAAAGTAATGCTTTATGCATGAACAATCTATTGTACTTCAATTATACGAATATTATATGTATCTAATCTAGCTGCATTTTAGCCAAAATGTAATTTCTGAGGGTACCTGGGTGTCTTCAAGGCCCGAGTGAGTAGGTTTTTGTTGCTTATGGGACGACGTGCTCCATCATATACCGCATCATCGCTTAAGTACCACAGTTTGATCACTATCTGGTCAAATATCGGGCCATCAAATATACATATAAAAAATAATATTATGTCTATGCGCATATAAAATTTTAGTAGCAAATGATACAGGAGAATGCACTAATTTTAGATTAAAATGCTAGGTTACGTTATTTCTTATAATTTCATGTTGAATTACATAAAGACATTACGTAAAAGTACAATAAATATGTATTTTTATACAGAAAATTATTTCGCATAATATTTTAAATTAAATAAAAGAAAATGTTTAAATAAATATTTAAAATGGACTTTGCTAAATCTACTACCGTACTCGCTATAATGTGTATTTTGTAACATTTTTAGTTCGTTATAGCTGTAATCGAATTATGAATCACATTCAAAAATTTGGTTGAAAATAAGATCTTATCGAATGACATAATTATGTACAAAATTCATTTTAAGTGTAACCGTATTTCAACAAACATTTTTGCGGAAGAGTTTAGGGTGACCATAATAAAAATATATTTGGTATAATTATTACCAACCTACGTTTTGTTTTTGCGGGGGACCACAAAATTCATTCACACTTTTACTACTAAAAACGTATTTGAAATGGACAATACGTAGTCTATTATTAAACGAAGTTAGTAGTAGCTTTTGTATGGCTATATCTATTGAAATCTTGTACTATGTATGTAGAAAAATATATTTATAGGCATAGTCAATATTGTTTTAAATGTTGAAGACGAGCGGTGTTTATAAACTGTACTATTTCAGCTTGAAAACATTTGTTTCCAATTTTTGCATTTGATTTCTAAGTTTCTGCAGCTAGGTATGTTTAGCAATAGATACACTATACACGTCGTGTTTTTATGCAAGCTATTGCGTATTATACCCTATATTGGTGTTACTTTTATTTGATAGAATTGTATAAGAATTAAAAATAATTGCAAAAGTATAAATACCGTCTGGTTGTTTGAGTTTCTTAGTAGTTATTTTTTACAAAAAATATGACATTGTATTTTTTAAACATAGTTCTTGTTCTAAGTATACCATTTATATTATTACAAAAAATAATTATAATTTTTTTTGTAAACCAATTTGATTTTGTCAGTATGGCTGTGCTAAACTAAGGACAAAGTGTTGCCATTCCCAAAGAATCATTTATATAATTTGATTTTCGTAGAAATAACTTTAGGTTTTACATTTGGATATTTTGTATAAGTTTTTAGTAAAAAAAAGAATTAAAAAAATATAGTAATATCATAGCTTGACTTTAAAAGTAGAATGTATAATAATATGCATGTATATGACATGTAAGTATGTAAACATTATGTTAAAATCAATTTATAAAATAGGTCATTGCATGCGATGTATTGTGGATAAACTATTTTTAGTTATTTTACAATCAAAATATCTTTGTGGTTTGATTGTCTATAGTGTGAATTGTTGGCATAACATTTGATATTGTAATACATATAAATGTTAATTATAATCATGGCTTCGTCTAGATGTTAAATTGTATTTTTAATTGTGTAAATATAAAACTTTGGAACATACTCAAAACATTCCATTGCGAGTTGCTAGTTGCTACTGCCACAGCGAAGTGTAGTAGCCATTTAAGAATTTATATTATGAAAATAACTATATGTTTTACTCTCCTGTACAATGGTTCATTCATTATGTAAGAAACTAATGTAGATTTTTGTCGATTTCTATCAATTTCAGAGATGAAACATTGATAGCATGATTAGTTTGCGATTGTGTCTCCTTGAAAATTTGAGACTAGCCTATCTTTGCACGTCATTCCCTTTAAACTATTATTTCAATATTAATTAACATTAACAAGTTGTAAAATGTTTAAATTATTATGTGAACCATTGTAAAAAGAGTCTCTAGATATCGGATTAGGTGTAAAAGTTGTAAAGTTTTTGTAAACAAATATAATAGTTATGTTGACTGCTTTTGTAACCGGTCTTAGTACCTGACTAGCTTCAAATAAGCCACAGAATGTATAAAAGTTACCAAATTGTTAATCATAGTAGTTCACACAGACTTCTAGGCCAATTTAAATAATATAACTTGAATGAATGATATAGAATTTTAGTACTTTTGTATAAACTTTTGATTGCTGCTTTTGAGCAAAGCAATGGAAAAAGATCTTAACTTGAATGTTTAATTTAAAGTAAAGAACAATCCTTACGAACAGAATCTCTAAAACGTATAAATACGTACTATTTTTTATGTAATAGCAACATTTTTTAGTTTTTTTTTAAGTGAATTTAATGGTAGTTAAGGAAATGTTGCGCTCGATTTAAGTACAGAAATGTTGATGCAATTTTCAATGCATTTATTTTGCTCATTCCTTTTGTAATATTTATATGTTTAGATTTAAATACGTTTGTCGTAGAGTAATCATGTATTTGTATATCAATGTTATATGTGTCGATGTTTCTGTTAAGCGCAATGTCTTAAAGAGACGATATGACAATAATAAATTATTGAAGAAAGTGATTCTTGTTTTATTGACTTAATCTTATGTTAACTAACTATTGTACAAAACACAGTGGTGGATTATTATTATCGTAAGCAGCTTTAGCTTTTAAACAAGCTGTTGAGCAAGTAGAAGTAACTAATATAAGGACACTTTTATTGAAGGCAATAAATGATCAGTTATAAACCGTACCCAAACCATCTACATCTATTCTTTACCAGATTACAATTTTATTATCTATATAAATAAAAATGAATTTCTGTTCGTTAGTCTCGCTAAAACTCGCTAGTCGAGAACGGCTGAACCGATTTGGCTAATTTTGGTCTTACTTAGAATGTTTCTGGCAGTCCAGGGAAGGTTTAAACAGTGAGAACAAAAAATTGTAGGCGGTACGAAGTTTGCCGGGTCAGCTAGTTTTTAATATTATTTGAATTGGTAAGCGATGAGAATGAATCGTGAGCTTACTCCCCTATACTTATACTGTCGCGGAGAACCTAACGGGTTACCGGGGCTCCGGCTCGACGTGCAGGAGAAGGGGAGAAGGAACGGGTTGGTTTTTAGTCAGTAAGAGTCTGACACTCCCTCCCACCTCACCCAGGCGGGAGCAGTCATTCGATGATTTCCCCCCTTAAAAAAAATACTTATTATACTCTTTGGCTTACACTAATAACTTACACTTTGATCTTAGCCAAAAGGCCGAGAAGCGATGCACTAATAACAAAACGCTTCCTATTGAAACTGACAGTGACAGATAGTGACACTGCCATCGACCAACGTCAGTCACATTGGTTGTCAATGTCAAATTGTTTTCGTGGTGTTGTGTTGTTTCGTCGCGATATTGTGGTATTTTTCTGAGTGAATATTAATAAAAATGGTTAAATTCGGCAAAAATAAATTTAAAGCGTTAAACAAAGTCGCTAAAAGTCAGAAAATTGTAGCTACAAGTCCAAATGTATCGAACAAAATATTGAAGAAGAAAATTAATGCTGAAAAGAAGGTTACGTTTCAAAAAGAGGTTTTATTAAAGGAAGCAGTTACAAAGGGTGATAATGTGCTCGTGAAGAATGTAACAGCTAAGAAAGCAATTCTGAAACCACCAAAGAAAGTAGAAAATGAGAAGGACAACGAGGTAAATAATGCACCCAAACCTAAAGTGAAACCTGTTGAGAAAAAGAAGAAACGACAGAAAACACAAATCAACGACACCAAATTAATGTTAAAATTGATGAGGAGTAGAAAGTAGAAGTCAAGTAAGACATGCCAATGGCTGAAGAAAGAGAAGTTAAATATTATTGTATTGCTCGCATTATTTTTGTGATCAAAATAATGTGATCTTCTACTATACTTAGAAATAAGGTTAAATTTAATAAATAAGTTACGTTACATTTGAATTGTTTCATTTATAATATTGTTATTCACTATTTTTCTCTAAAAAGTAAGTTACGAAAACACATAAACTAAAAATCGCAAGTTACTCACGTGAATATAGAGTAGGCAGCGCGACATCGCCGCGACCCCGCACGCTGCGGGGCCTCTGTGGTTCGGAACTAGTAAAGCTTTTCTCAGTATTTTCACGTGAGTATCCCGCGATTTTTAGTTCATTTAGTATGTCTCACGATAGTTATTAAGAAAACAATGACTACTTTAGTCATTGAGAAAACACAATTCATTTACACACTGGTATTCACGCACAGGTTGTTGGTACATTTACACTTAGTGCATTCAAAAAGCAACAACTATGCTTAACCCAACAATACTTTAAAAATATTTACATGTTTCATTATTGCAATAATCATTTAGAGTACAGAACAATTGTTTTGAAAAAACTACAATATCTCACAATCTCCTAGCCAAAAAGTAAAGAACATTTTTACAACTTTTCTAGACATTTACTGATTATGGACAGGAATGACAAGATGGATGATATCTTGCCTAAAATGTACATTGAAGCTCTCATCTATAGATAATATTCTTCTTGATGGGTCAAGAGTAGAATACAATTATTTTATCACAACATTTTGGTCATCCACACTGGTTGAGAAGGTCTTTGGAGAAGGTGAATGCCCAACAAGGGATCATGGTTTCATTACAAGAGATGGGCTATATTTTTTTAAATTTTCGATTAGTAGTAGTTAGCTGTACTGTAACTGACGCAAAAAAGGATAATTATAAAAATAAAAACAACAGGCAGACATTTTATTGATTTATTTTATTTGAATAATCACATTACATATAGAAAAATGAAATCTCAGACATGAGAGATATATAGAAGTATACAAGAAGTATTAAGGACCCACAGCACAACTAAACCATATAAAAATTTTACAATAAATTATCAGATTATGAAATCTTCATTACAATTGCAATATGAACTTAGTTGTGCTTTGAACCAAATATTGTGAAGTTTACCTTTTGTTTTTAATGGATATTTTACCCCATATCATATACTAAAGAATACCATACAAATGGTAATAAGATAAAGTACTCAATTTCAAGACCTAGTAATAAGCGGAAGTCACAGATATTTTATTTTCTAATAGTAGAAAATGCAAGCCTACACTAAATATCTAGTTTTCACACTATAACCTATTAATAATTAAACTGAAATAATTTTGAGATACATTGAATCGAGTCTTGATTACAATTGTTCGGCCTAATGCGCTAGACATGTTAATTACTCGCTATATTATAATTGTGCACTAATTTTAAGCAAAAGGTTATAAATGAGCAGAGAGAATTAGTTCTATAGTTATAAAGAACTATATGTAAGCAAATTATACCATACTTTGACGATTATACTTGACTTAAAAGTTAACATATTTTGGTTTTGACCTGCTGTTTATATTATACTATTTGCAGGAATTATCTAAGTAATGTAACAAAGTCAAAATAATTTCTTGGTAGATTTAGACCTTACTTTAATGGGTTTTAAGTAAACACTCCTTTAACAACTAAACAGCTGGATAAATGACGATTCTTTAAAACTCGAAATACTATAATAATTTTTTCTCTTTCAATTTATAATAAATCAGTCCTATGCCAACTTCCTAAGAAGTTGTTATAAATAAACTTTTGTAATAATAATTTCTGCAGAAGTTTATAATCAAATGCGATAATATTCCTGATCAACTTAGTTAGAAAATAAATCTATGTAACTATTAGGTCGAATTCCATCCTAGGCATAGATTCTATAGTAAAGTTTATATATATATATATATATATAAAGTAAATTATACACTTTTGTGTAAGGACATATACATATTATTACTTCTGAATTGCACAATCAACTCATAATATAGTAGCTGTCAGGAATTCTGTATCTATATTTATTATAAAGGTACCACACAAAATCTGGGTAAATATAATTCTATTTCCTACTTGTAAGGACACAATCTTTTTACGTCATATTCAGATAAACTGGGAGAATAATCATTATGTAATCTGTAATATCTATGAACATGAATCTGTGGTGTCACAAAAATAGTAATTATTTTAGTTATTGTAGTGGCTTAAACAACTTCTATTACTACTGTTATTAAGTTGAAATTACATCTTTGTATTCAAGTTTAAGCAAAAGAATATAACGTCATTGGTTTCAATGAAAAGTTCGATTGCTTGAATGAGAAATATCTAAGTGACATGGCTGAATACTCCAGTCAGTTCAAGTTTATAAATATGACGTAAAATGATCATGTACCTATACAGTTTTCTCTATTGGTAAATCTAAAACTTACATCTTGGTATAAGTATTCGGTTATACAAATATATTGTATGTCTTATGACGTAGAAAAATATCTAAATAAAACAACTATGCACAACACTGATGGAGTAATTTAAATTATATAGGCCTGTTTCAAATAATGAAGATATTGTAAAACAGGCCTATAATAATTTAATAAAGACCTGCCAGGCCTCAAAATCAAAGACATTGACAAAACAGCTGTTTTCTTATAGAATTTATTGTTTTAAATAATAAATAGGGATGTTTCCAGCCGTCATACATTAAAATTTATAGAACGTAAAATCGACATTTTGATATAATTTTTGTACGACGTCGTATATTGTGACAACACATTTATTTTGCATGAACATTACACATGTGTAAAAACTATAATATATTTTCTCGTCCAGATAAACCATTACCCCGCGGTTAATATCAAACACAGACTTTAACTTAAGAAATAATATATAAGAGAGGTTTTTTCCTAACAATTGACGATTTTCAGTTACTTTTGTGTATGGAAACATCCCAAATAGTGATTGTGTGACGACTAAGTGCTGTATGGGTCTAATACCGTCCACGGCCCCTTCCCCGGCCACGGCCGCGTCCGCGTGGGGAGCCCCGGGGCCTGTCGGCGACGGGGGTGGCCTGGACTACTGGTGGTGCTGGTGGTGGAGTCTTGGGCTTCTCTGGCTCCTGTTTGACTGGTTCTTCCTGCTTGGGTGGCTCTGGTGCAGGTTGCTCTTCTTGTACCGAGTCTGAAATAGATTAGAAAATTGTAGAAAAACCCTTTCATGGTGTGGTAGTGTCATAACCATGCATAGAATAATATTCCATCTTAGAAATTCTGAGAGGTAAGGTATTTTAAACATCAATCTTTGTGAACATTTTCAAACGCTATGAAATTTTAAAATCATCGACAGATTTCGATAAAATAATAATTTGCAGTTAGTTTTATCTATACTTTGATGTCCGATGGTGACTCGTTGAATATAAATTAAGATGAATTTTGTGTTAATATTTTTTTAAGTAATACATTTTAGATATAAAGCTTACCATTTTTCTCATCCTCTAAGATCTCATCGACGGTCTGCTCCCAGTTCTCCATGTCCTCGCCAGCGTCGCCACCCTCACCATCATCCTTGTTCAGGATGGAGTCCTCCGCAGCAGAGTCCAGGACTTCATCTTCTAGAAATGTATTTATATGTCAGTGACGGTAGAATAGGGTGATGAAATGGATGGTAGGAGGCGTAATAAATACTATTTTTGATAACTTGTACAAATTATGTAAGTAACGAAAGCTAAAGTGGTACCTACCTATAATGATATTATAGGAAGTAAGTTATATCAACTTTTCAATTTATTTCGATAGTTACCACTTATAGGAACTATACAGAACAACACTGAATTTTAACATACCCATCCCCAAGCGGTCACCGGTGACTGCTCTCCACTAACTACATTACAGACCGTATTTCCAATGTTTAGAGACTACTTTTGTTTGAACAAATTTAGGGGATCAATTTCAACGGGTTAATGATGATGATGAATGATTTAAGAATCCTACTACTATTATAAATGCGAAATTTTGATATGTTTGTTACTTCTTTACATCAAAACGTCTGAAGGGAGCGAGATGAAAGAAACAGGGGTAGATTATATAGTCTGAAATAATACATAGGCTGTCCCTTAGGAACGCGGGCAAAGCCGCTGGCAGAAGCTAGAACAATATAAAGAGAACAGTAGTAATATTGTTTGTAAAGGATACTTACCCTTGTTCTCATCATCATGATCGTGTCCGTTCTGCTCGGTTTCATCATCAAGCTTGCGACGCTTAGCATCCGGGTTTTCATCAGCATCCAACGACCTCTTGTTACTGTTTGTCTCATTACCCTGCTGAAAAATGTTCAAATTATAAGCATAATTGCATTAAATAATAGGTCGTATTAAACTAAAAATTTAACTGAAACAGTGCGAGAAATTATAATAAAAACACTTTTGGGAAAATACATAAGTAGTAATACATATTTTACATAATTATTCAAAAAGTGTACAAAAAGAATTGGAGTTTTAAGACAGTTATCATGTGAGCGCTTCTCGCCGTTAAACGATATGTTTGGCGAGGATCTTTAATTTTATGAACACAATGTTATTCCTAAAATTGTACTTTTGTTAAATAAATAAAAATAAATGTGTGAATAGGGTCATGTCGTGAACCATGACAACCACACGGTAGTAGGTTACTTATGCGACAACGTGCGCCATCGTAGACCGCATCTTAGCTTACCACCAGGCGAGATAGTGGTCAAACCTCGGACCAACATATATATAAAAAAAATCACACATAGATGCCACCAAAGAAGGACAACACAATAAAGTTAAAGTAAAGGATATTTTCAAGACTCCTGAATCCATTACCTACAAACATTTTACCATCCTATTTTGCTAATTTATTTTGGACTCCAATATTGTCGTACGTGATCTATTGCCGTACAGGCATATTAAAATAAATCCTTAGTAATAATATTATAAATCGGAAAGTGAGTTTGTTTGTTTGTTCCACTTTCACGCCGTAACTACTAAACCGATTGCTTTGAAATTTTGCAGACGGAAAGTTAGAAGTCCGGATTAAATAATAGGGTACTTTTTATCCCGGAAAAATTGATATTCCCGAGGGAAAACAAAAGTATTGGTATATATGGCGCTGTGTGTATTGGTATATGTCACATTGGCTTTTTATCATTTTGTGACGCGAGCGAAGCCGCGGGTAAAAGCTAGTTACACAATAATTTACAGTGGTCGAGCTAGCAATCACTCGATCCACGAAGCAATTTTCATCAGTCAGTTAACAATATATTTTCTTATCAGTTTATTAAAAGTAATGTTATAATGCATGTTATCGGTCACATTAAATCAACAAAATGAACCAACATATTATAATAATATCATGCACTCTGTATTTATCCATACCAATGTTCCGGCTATTGGGTATGGGTATGGCTGAAGATGTTGAAATCAATAACTGAATATTAATATGCCTTGTAGTAGAGTTATTTGACTTTGATAAATGTTCGTTAGGATTAATTAGAAAACCGGCGTGAAAGAACGATTGCGTTGTATTCTATTGGTATAAGTTGAGTAAATGGAGGCCCAATCCCATCCCCCAAATACCAAAAAGTCAAAACTCGCCGCCCGACCAGGATCAGACCCGACCGTACGCACGCGACTTCAAGGAGCCATCAGACTACCACGGATGGGGCCCAATAGGGCTGATGCCGATACGGAGTCGCGGAGAACGTAAAAGGGGGGTCCGGCTCTAAGTGGAGGAAAGGATTCAATGATGCTAGAACATAAAAAAAATCCCATCCAACACTCTTGTCTTGCGAGCGCACATGGGCGGCGGCGATTGTTTATCAACAAATGATCCGTCTGCTCGTTTGCCGTTCTACGAAGTATAAACAATCCATAAGAACTTACCACTTGGGTGCCGCTCTTCTCAGCCAGGAGCCTGGTGAAGAGTTGATGATGTCTCCAGGTGCGGAGATGTACCTGCGCGGTCTCATCAGTATCCAGCAACTTGCGGCAGAGGCTGCACTGTACGCAGCGAAATTCTGACAGGAATGAACCGCCCACACCACGTTCAGTGCTGTTGGGGAGAATAAGTGTTAAAAAAAAAATCCTTATGCTTTCCAATTAAAAAAAATTTGCATTTCCAAAAAAGTATAGTTTTATTAAGTTTAGTTTGAGGGAACCCCTGAAGTGAAATGAAAGATGGCAATCTCTAAAGGAGGCCCTCTCTCTCACACTCTCGTATTGTAATTTAAATATCGTTATGAATTTCACAATAGGTTAGGCAGAGAAGAAGATATATATTGATAACTAATTTCTCTCTCTGAAGGAAAAAATTATATGGCAAATTCTTGAGTCATAACATCCATGATTGGCAATCAGGTTGGAGATCAATCCCAATTTGTACCTTTTACAAATTTGTCAGAGAACCGAGAGAATTTTATAGTTGGTTATTATTACACCCGCGGAAGACCAGGGGTTTGGTGACAAATGTATACTCTATCATCACCAACACAACTTGTTATACTGTAGTAAATCAGCCGCAAGTCCAACTCACCTGTAAGCCGGGAACATATCCTGAGTAGCTCCAGTCAGGTCATCTCCCTCCTTATAGTCCAGGATAGTCTTATCATTGTCCAGTTTGGACTTCTTCTCTTCTGCATCACCCTCGGGTTTTGCTTCACCTTCTCCCTCATTCTTAGCTTCCTCCTAAGTAAAGAATAGTACTAAATTAACCAGTGTTGGCAGTATAACTATAATTTCGAGGCATGTGCTCGTTTTTCTCCAGAAGAATCTACACATTGGAACGAGCAAATAGCTTCACTAGAGGACTGACCGACAGGCGGACATTTTTAACAATATTTTATTTTGACATACAAAAGTGCCTCCCTGGTCTAATTGAAATAAATGATTTTGACTTTGCTCTGTAATTCAAACGATCATGGACTATCCCATGCAGAATTAAATCATGAAAAATTACAGGCGTGAGTTTTCAAAACATTCAGTCAATTGTTTTTGGTATCAACAACCTATCATCAACAGACTAGCTAAGCCAACGTTGGCAGAGTGGTCGCAAGTGCTACTGCCGTGCAAGAAGTATCGGGTTCGATTCCCGGATCGGGCAAAGAATTATTGGGTTTTTAAAAAATTCTCAGTATTACGGAATCTGGAATTGTGTCCGGTATATGACAATAGACGCACACCCTATTATATGGGACTCATAACATAAATAGTGAAAAGTGCGTGTTGTAACAGTGGCATAATGTGCACCTCTGCCTACCCCTCCAGGGATAAAAGCCGTGATTTTATGTTGTTGTGTTATCATGATGCATACAAACCTGATTTTCTCCCTCTCCCTCCTTGGCCTCAGCGTCATCTCCATCCTTGTCGGTTCCGTTCTTGTCGTCGTTGCGGCGACGACGCTGCCTGTCCTCGCGCAGGTACAGCTGCTCCATGTTCAAGGTCGAGATCACCATCACTACACCAGAAACATAATAGGTAGTTATAGTAGTTGTTAATATAATACAAAGTTATGATATTGAGATAAAAATGACTAGATAAAGTGATTATTGTAAACAAAGACACATAGCAGGGCTTTATTTGATGTTAATAATATCGAAACATAAACAAAATATATTGAAATACTATTATGTTCAGAGACTAACTGTGACTAACAAAATTACTTTTCACTTCAAGATAATATATTTTGCCGAATAACTAAAGACAAGAAAAACAAGAATATTGTTCCTGATACTCACCCTCAGGCTTAGGCTTGGTAATAATCTCCTGCTTGTCCTGCATATTCCTCAGATGCTCCGCAGTAAGGCGATGCTCATCCAACTCGATCCTGGTGGGCATCTCCTTGTGGCAGGATGTGCAGGTGGGGTGCAGGTACTTCTTGAGCTTGCGATGTCCGACAGTGGTGCGATGGATGGCTCCGTCGGCCGCGTACATGTCACACATTGCGCAGTAGAAGTCGCGGGCGGGCTGCTGGCCTGCTTTGCGAGTGCGTTTCATCTCGCGGATCTAGGAGATAAATGGTTTTATTTAAAAGTCTAGTGTGAGGTGATTTGTGGTCTAAGTGTACACAAAAAAGTCATACAACTCAATATATCTTTAGAAGATTATTAGATTTTAGAAAGTAAGGTAAGTTTATTAGATTTTAAAATATAATCTAATACAAACAGACAGAGACTCACGCATACAATATTTTGATGTAAATTTTTCAGAAGGAAAATAATTTCTTAAAAAATTAAAAAATATATTACCTTAAACTCCTGACGCATGGTATCAGCAGTGAGCGCATAGCTCTCCGCCGTCTTCGTCATCATAATAGCATGAGCTCGTCCACTCAGATGGTTCTCAAAGGACCTGCCATCCCACATGCTCTTGTTACAGATGTGACATTTCAACAGCTGAGGGTTAATGTCGTCGTATCTGGTCTTCGGAGCCTCCTTCTTGGTGTCCTCACCCTTCTCCTTATCTTGCTCAGTTGGGGCAGCATCATTCTTTTCTTCGGTTTCACTGCGGGATGGTTTGCTGGTAAATAAAGGGCAAATAGTATAGAAATTAAGTTTTACCCGTTTATGGGACAATTTCTATGCAGGTTGTAGCACACTTTTATTAAGATAATAAATTAGCAATACACTAAAAAGGAGGCGGAGGCGAGTTGTGTTGTGTTCTGTATTGGAGACCACTGTATAAAATCTTGACTAAGTTGTAAAGATTGCGATAAATGTAATGTCTTCATTTGTCCATTTCCATGAAATATATTGCCTTGCTCTGTATGGATTTGATCTTCTTTTCCTTTAGTTAAAGATGCCAAGTTTTGAAATGGTGTTTCTCTGTTTATTAGTAAAGTCAATGTTGTTACACACTTACCAATGTGACACATGGCTAATGTTTATCAATCCATTACAATCCATAGGAGGTAGCATTAAACAGTAGATAAAAATAGGTGCACAAACCAGTACAGGGCAGTGCACCCAGGGTTATGAAATTCCAATAACAAGCCAACATACAGTATAGACAGATATCTAGGTATACCTGCCTATGGTGAAGACAATTTTTCACAGAATATAAAAACAAAACTTTCGAGATTTGTCACAGAAATATCTTTGCACCTCAAATGAGGCAGAAACTAATGTAATGCCAATTCGGCTAAAGTTCAGAGGCCGGTGAACGTAAAGTGTTAACAGAGACTTATTGCAGTGAGGCTCGGCCCCAGCAGGGGCACAAGAAATTCGGTGTCACCACCGGAAGGAAACATTCAGGGTTCCTTACCTCTCCTTAACAGGTTTAGCCTTTGAATCGGCCTCCTTTTTCGGGGAACTCTTGTTTTGTTGCCTTTGCCCATCATTGGGCCTATATGGTTTACGATTGTTGTTGACACGCTCACCGGAGCGATTGTAAGTTCCCGTACGCCGGAAATTACCTTGATTGCCCATCTAAAGGGAATTGATCAGAACACGTGTGTTAGTAAGAAGTCTGCCAGGCTCTACGAGCCATGAAGAGATGCTGAAATTTGAAATACTTCAGTTTTGTCATTAAAATGTGATTATGAAATTATTTGCTCTATAACTGAAGATTCTGGGATCCAATAAAGAGGCTCTCAGTAAATTATATTTTCTCATGCATGAAAATAATGGAAGAATTAGGTACTCGATAATTTAAACATTAAAGCAGGAAATGTTTGCACAAGATCTAACATTTTCAAATCTGACAGAGTATTTAGAATACCAGAATAACATCACAGAAATTTGGATGATGCATAGGTCATTGAAACTGTAAAATATAATTTAAACTGAAGTCCTACTGCTGTATATCTTTCCAAACCATTATCAGAATATGGTATTACTTACCCTGGTAGGTCCATAACCACGATCATACCGACCCATGTTGGGTCCGAAATCACGTCGGATGGGCATATCGAGGAGTGAAGGGACAGGGTTCTGACGAGGTTGTAGCAGATTGATGATATTGTTGGCTAGAGCCAGAGTGGCCTCCGTGGAGCCCCCCGACAGCGGGAGCAAGTTAGGCATGCCGCCGCCGGGGCCACTGCCCTGCCACGGTGACACTCCGCTGCGCCCGAAGTTCTTCCCGCGATCATTGCGTTGGAAGTCCATGCGACGCCCACCGTTGCTTTGCGGTCTACGATTCGCCATCTTGAAATCTAGACCAAAAATAAAGCTAGCTAACATCAGATTTTCTAGGCATACCGGTACATTACTTCGCGTGGTATTTTTTTTAGCCATAATAGAAAGTAGAACGTTGCCGGCCGGCAGCCAATTGCCAAAACTAACGGACCCCGTTTATTATGTTTTTTGAATATTACTATTTTCCAGAAATAATACAGTTTATATCAAAATAAAATATAAATAAAAGCAATAAAATTGATATATCACATTATTTACTTAGATAGAAATACCATAAAACAACACGAAAAACGCTGCTTACGTAGCCTGTAACATAATTGATTTTCCTAACATTGTCCGTGGTGCGCAAAATATCGACAGATTACGGTTTAGAAACCTATATTAAGGTTAATACTTACAAATGAAATGCAAGAAATATTTCCACAAACGTATTTCACCAGCACAAACTATTTATTGAAGTAAAATAAAATTATATTTCAACAACGCAGACAAGACACCAAGCCGAGCGCCGCCGTAAACGTCAAATGTGACAAAGATGGCCGCACACTGACTCAACGCGACGCGCCTTTCACTGAGATCAAACGGATCAATGGTTTTTAGCACTATGCCGTTTGGCAATCAGGTGTGGCGTTAGTGTGCTTTGTATTGATTTTATAGCAGAGGCAGAAATAGAGGCGATTTTCTACTGCTTGCTCTGCTCAATGTAAACTGTTTGACTGATAAATTAGGAATAAACTAAAGAAATGCTACAAAGCATTGATTAATGTTTTGAGATGTTATTAATTAATTGTAATGATAATGAATAAATAATCAGGTGATTAGGTCTAATACTAATGATATACCAATATCGTGCAAGAATGATTTACTTTTATAATGTAGAAACATTGAAATCAATTATTTTTACTCATTTACTTATAAAAATCATTGATTGAACAGGGCCAGAAAATACAGAAATCCTTGAAAGAAACAAAAAAAATTACGTCCATTGGACCATTGGCAACACTTGCTATAACTGACAACAGATTTGACAAAACATTGACATTAGTATCTGTGGTGTGTTTTTTGAGATTTGCTACTGGAAACTAGCCTCTATTTTATGGTTGCAAAGGCCGGTTTTTTTTCAGGTGCTTATTAGATAAAGAATCAAGATTCGAGACAGAGGTTGTTTATAAGAATAAATAAATTCCAAACCCACGATTTTAGTACTGAATTATATTAGTGTTGAAAGCGGATACAATCCTCTTCTGTGGCTAATTTTATCCAGGTGTTCAAATAAACTCACAAATGGACGACTTGGAAAACGAAGATCAAAAGCGAACGAAGGTAGATTTTTTTTTTCTAGAAATTTTCTGCTAGTTTTAAATCGACCGATATTTAACTTATAGAAAACGTTTGAATAATTTCGACCTTTGATTTTTGGTCTTATGAAATAAGATGCAATGACATGAATGAGTCAAAAAATACTAATACTAGGTACCTATGGATGTGAAAAAAATGTTGCGGCTTGTTGTGGCTTGTTTACTTACAGTTGGTTCTAAGTTTTATTGTTTATATTCTCCTTAGATAATGATATAACATTGCTTCATGATAATAACATTTTAATTAATAGGACTGCTTCTTAATTTGTATAAAGTCAACATTTTTATTTTTATATTCAATGCTCAGGTTTTTGTAATTCTTATTAGTAAATGACTTTATGTAGGTATTTTAATTATTATGCAATGTTAATATTTAGCATTTATGTCAGTTCTATTTTCATGACTTTGTCCATATTATTGGAACACAGAGTACCTACTTACATTTACCCCATTTTAGACAAATTATAAAAAAAATGTGTTTTGTGCCTAGGTTTATGACCTTTTTAACTGCTGTTGAGTAAGTTTTCTATCAGCATCACAGAATCATGTTTAATAGGTACTTTGTTTTATACACACAATACATTAAATTTTCCATTAAAGTTAACCTATACTCTATTGTAAAACACAGATCAAAGCAAGACATTTTTTTTATTTTATATCCTATAGCAACAGATGATAATTTAAATGCAGGTGATGAGACAGTTTGAAAAAAAGAAACAAAAACAGGTACACATCCTTTTCCAACAATCTATAAAAGTTGTAGGTAGTGCCAATTGGACTAATTCAGACTTATAAGTTTACAATACAGTCTTGCACTGGTATTTCTGATTGATTCTATGAGGTTTTCCCAAAAATAAATCAAGAAAAAACAATAAAAGAAATGTCTATGGCTAAAAAGAACAACACTTACATTAAAAAGTAGAGATGTAATATACTCATGTATGGAGGTTTGATTCAAAAACATGTTTTGATGTGTCCCTGATAAACTTTGATCTTAAAAGATCTACAAAATGCTCTTCAGTTGGAACTATATGTTATTTTGTAGCCTTTTAGCCATCATAATTTTTATTGTTGCTAAACTGTAACTCTAACTAAAAAGATTTTTATATTATAATTAAAAATTATAAGCCCAGGTTTCTTCACGATGTTTTCCTTCACCGTTTGTCAGTGGTGTCTAGATAATCTTAGAAACTACATATATACAACTCGGAAAAAGTCACATTGGTACTTGCCGTTATAGGGGCATATTAAACCTCCGGGCCCCCACAACATCTAAAACTATTTAATCATATGCAATAGTTTTGTAATATTATGTTCTTTTACCAATGCTGTTTTATTTGTGCACCTTAAGATTTAATTATTAATTTCCAGAGTCGCAGCCCCTCTCCGGGCATCAAATCGACAGCGGTGGTGAAGTACACCGCATTCCAAAGCCCCGTGGGCTACGCTCGGTTACAATGTAACACAGACTTGAACATGCCTCCCTCCAACTGGGGGGCGGCCATTGACTCTTATGGACTAAAGCAGATACTGACCAGGGGCACTGGGCTATCTAGGTAATGTATTGATTTATATTTGTAGTATAGTCCATATGAACGTGATAAACTTAAAAACTGCTTAACAGATTTTTGTATGGTTTTGGATTTCACCAATAGGGTAATGACGTGAAGCAACGCTTACGTTGTGTTTCGTCTTGTGAGTGAGGTTACCGGAGGCCCAATTAGCCTCCCGGTCCCCAATCTCCCCAATCCCTTAATCCCCAACGATCCTCAAACGCCTCTGGTGTTCCAGGTGTCCAAGGGCGACGCCGATTGCTTACCATCAGGCGATCCGTCTGCTCGTTTACCGGCTTATGCCATAAAAATGTGATTCTTGAAAAAGATTTAGATATCACTTTAAATTATTTTAAAGTCGCTATCCGCTTTCTGTCTGTCCCTTTGTTCTTCAAAACTACGCAACGGATTTTAATGCGATTTTTTTAATAGATAGAGTTATTTTTAAGGTAGGTTTATATGTATAATACATGCACATTATATCCGTGCTAAGCCAGGGCAGGACGCTAGTATAATTTATAATGATTTTGATTGGTAAAATGGCAATTGCAATCCAACTTTGAAAACGAACTCGGGACCCTCTTGTTCAGTATACAACACAAGAAGTAACAAACAAACCAATTGTTTGTTGCGTGCGTGTCTTATGCCGAATAAATATATTTCATTTCATTGTTTTTTAAACTAATAAGATAAAAATATTTCGTCTTTCACAGCTTTAGGATGGCGCACATGTTCCCCGACTGCGTGGGGGAGGTGGACGTGATATCAGGTGCGGAGTGCATCAAGAAATTGCTCAAACTACCATACCAACCCAATGGAACTGTAAGTATCATTTTACACTCTTAAATAGCCCAACTTATTCCTTTATTTAAATACAGGCGGCGCCGATTGCTTATCGTGTACCATTAACGATCTTCAGACATAGATTGATGTGTTAACAATTAACATGTTGTTTTAGTGAATTCGCAAAGGTATTAGGGTTCGTACACAAAACTGTGATGCGATGCGATGCGAATTCGCAACCCAGAAAATTACGATCCGAATTGCTGCCATAGAATTGTTCTTAACTGTGAATGAAACTGCGCCGCGCCACGTCGCGCAGTAGTTAGTCGCTTGCCCAGTCTTATGTGACAGGCTTCGGCACTGCCGGGCCGGATCTACTGTAGCGATACAACGGCTGAGTAGAAAACCGGCGTGAAACAACGCTTACGTGTTTTCGTGTAAGTGAGATTACTGGAGACCCAATCCCCGCTCCAAATGCCGCTAACGTACCTAACTTGTGTTGAGCGGCTTCGATTGCTTACCACCAGGCGATCAATGTGCTTGTATGTGTAATTCTAAGTTGTATTGTATTTTGTTTCGTGTATTTTTTTTTGTGTCCAACATTATCTAATGTTTTGTAATGTTACTATATTTTCTCATTTACTTTTAACACCTTTTTATATTATGTACTTTGATTTGTAATTGAATTTGATTAATGTAATTGGTGTCTACCGTGTTAATAAATAAACAGAATAAATAAATGTGTACTTAAAATTGTGTAAATGATTGTCATAGGTGAGTATGATGGTGCACCGCGTCGAGAATACTTTGTTGTTGGATGATTTCGACGTGTACGACTACCTGATGAAGTCCGAGTGGTCCTGGCTGAAGGATTTTTTCTACGAGAACATTTTGAAGACGATGTCTGAGCAGGTGTGTTAATTTAACAACTATTTATAATGGCATAAGGTTTGAAGTTGCTGGCAATGGTATGGTGTTTTATACATTCAGTTTCTCGAACCATTACAAGTCGGTAGTATTAATTTTTCAATAGTAAACTTTCTAGCAGCTTATTGTTAAGATCTCAGTGCCGCTCGAAAGTAATCGGGTATCCTCGAAACATATGTTTGTTAACACTTAGTTATAGAAATATTTTTTAATTGATTATCTCAGCATAGATATTCTAAACATACATTTTAGTTCAGATGAGAGTATATTATATCTTGCAAGATATAATGGCAATATGTGTTCCGCGGTCCAGGAGCGTATGTCGCTGCGCCTGTCCCCGCCGAGCTCTGCGCTGCAGCTGACGCAGAAGTTCCTGTCGCACAGCGTGGCGCGCGGCCCCACCGGCGTCGCCACACAACCGCTCCCGCACATGGCGGCTTCCGTGTGTCTCGCAGACAAACGTAATATATACTTGCACTAACTTCATATTCATTTATTATACTTCTTCTTCATCTACAGCCTATAAGTGGCCTCTGCTGATCAATGGCCTCTTCTCTCACAGAGAAGGGTTGAGCATTAATCACCACGCTTGCTCAATATGGGTTGGCGATTTCAAACTTATAATTAGAAATTATAAGCCCAGGTTTCCTCACGATGTTTTCCTTCACTGTTTGTCAAGTCATAGAGGTCTAAAATAATTATCTTTTTAGTTTATAGTTTAATACCTAAACTAAAAAATATGTCTTTTAGCGCACTTGAGCAAAATTCATGCTCTTTGCGCATACTTTGTAATAAACAAAATTATTCAAATTCAGATTTCAATCTATAAATTGTTATTTTCTCTTGAATTTCTTGTGATAAAAATATGGTAGATATATAAACAAGTTAAAAAGCTTCAGAGCCTACTTTAGAAATATCATTTTACGGATCATTAGCATTGACAAAATAACAACTACAACATTTTCCCCGCAGGCCCTTTCCTGCCTGAACCAGAGACACGTGCAGAAGAGCCTCCAAATGAGCATTTATACAACCGCAACGTGCTCTGGACCTTCGAAGACATACACATGCTCATTGGCAGTGACCTGCCCATCTTCGGAGACAAGGACCGACCCTGCGTCAGTCTCAGGCTCAGGGACACGCGGGAACCCATAAATGTTCTCACCGGCATCGACTACTGGCTCGACAACCTCATGTGCAACGTCCCTGAAGTCCTAATGTGCTACCATCTCGACGGCATAGTCCAGAAATATGAACCCATGAAGACCGAAGACCTACCTAATATGGAGCACTCCAAATTTTCCCCAAAAGTCATTAGAAATGTTGCCCAGAATATCTTATCTTTCTTGAAGTCTAATGCTACCAAAGCTGGGCACACTTACTGGCTGTTTAAAGGTCCTCATGATGATGTAGTCAAGCTTTATGACCTGACATCTCTGTGTCCTGATAGTATGGACAATCCGTTCACTACTCCGGTAGCCATGTTACTTTACCGAGTAGCTCGGAACATGCGAATGACGAACAGGTCCAAACATGTCCGTCAGTTGCTTGAACATGTCATAGAACTGCTGAAGGAAGAGAGGTATCCTCAAATTATTGCGTCTTCACACTATATGCTCGCTGATTTGTACGTACCCGCTACTACGAATCCTGCTAATCCTGATTTTAAAGGTAAATATAACCATTGTATTACAATAAAATTAGTTCTAAATTATTTGTTTAGATTTTCCTATTTAATAATACTTCATAAATGATTTAATATTAAACCGAGCTTTGTTATTTTCTAAAGAACACTACTCGACGCACATACTATGACATCACCGTTGTATAATCTATACTTCACAAACAGAGAATACTTTTTTTATGTTCCAAAAGATTTCATTAGACAAGCAGGGTGTTTTGGACTTTCTTGGCATCTATACTTTTATTTATTTATTTATAATTTCATATACCTACACCACACAGACAATATTACAAAGGACGACACATTACAAGCATGAGGTACATAGGTACTGCATATCCCTTAAGGGATTTCTTCCTGCAGACCTGCGACAGGAAAAGGAAATTAAATATAAGACACAGTGTAAATGATACATGCAACAGATACAAAACAATATAAAATAACTGAAAGAACTTAAAACTAAAATGACCGGAATATAACAAAAATAATAAATAAAATAATTAGAAATATATAACTACTACTACTACTACTACTACTTTTATTTTACTTTGTCTTTCTATTTTCTAGAAGAGAGTGTAGACTCAGATTGTGAAGATCCAGATTTATATCCTCCCCAAGCAGAGGACGTTAGCTCGGAACACGCTGAGGACACTGTGGAAGTACCAGAAAAGGGAGAGGGTTCCGAAAAAGCAGAGGGATCTGAAAAGGGGGACGGATCTGAAAATGTTGAGGGATCTGAAAAGGGAGAAGGATCCGAAAAGGGGGAGGGATCTGAAAATATTGAGGGTTCTGAAAAGGGGGAAGTGTCAGACGCCGAAGGAGAATCGGCTCTTGCCCTCCAAATCCGAGGGTTGGCACTCAGAGATATAGGGGACAAAGTTCGGAATATTGTTGAAGTGAGTACATTCTAAAGTGTTACGTATTTTGTAGTTCATAAGTGTTGTTTTGGTTTGGGTGTGATTGCTATTCATAAGTTTTTGGGCGCTTGCGATAGATTTGTTCAAAAATGTCGTGGTGGCCCGGAGGTTTAAGACGCCCGCTTCCCATGCATGAGAGTGCGAGTTCGAAACCTACCAACGGCAAGTACCAATGTGACTTTTTCCGAGTTATATGTACTTTCTAAGATTATCTAGACACCACTGACAAACGGTGAAGGAAAACATCGTGAGGAAACCTGGGCTTATAATTTCTAATTATAAGCTTGTAATCGCCAACCCGCATTGAGCAAGCGTGTTGATTAATGCTCAAACCTTCTCCGTGTGAGAAGAGGCTTCGCTCAGCAGTGGGCATTTATAGGCTGTTGATGATTGATGATTGTATAAATCTATTGATGATTGTATAAATATGAATAAATCTATTGCAATCTGTTAAGTTATCAATCTTAAAGAAAATTGTGTCTAAACGTGGATCCACGCGAGACATAATGGGATTTAACTGCACGGTTGGTGCGGTGGCTGCCTATGTGTTACTTCAAACCATAATATACTGACTGAGTAACAAACATACACATCAACTCACATATTTACACATTTATAATATCAGTTCAAGCTAATTTCAACCATCGGTCCTACAGTTACAGCGTAAAATCACTATAGGTGGCTATAGCGATTTCTATGATTCTTTTTTTATTGAATTGATAATAATGTTAACTTTTTTTAATTGTGAATGAATGAGAGTATTATAAACGTAAGAGTAAACAAATATAAGCAGAATGCTCCGAACTGCTAAGCTATCGGGAGTTACATACGTGTTATTGTGAGTCAACCATATAAGATATTATTTAGATAATTTTACGTGGAACATTTCCCTCATATAATTATGATTTATATGTAGCTTTAACCATTAGGGCTGCACACGCGACAGAAACTAAAAAAATGGAGTAACTTCTCCCGTTTTCCCAACATTTTCCTTCACTGCTCTGCTCCTATTGATTGTAGCGTGATAGAATGTATACTATTAGCTCCCCGGGAGTATGAAGAATAATTGTACCAACTTTAGTTAAAATCCGTCGAGTAGTTTTTGTTTCTATAAGGAACATACAGACAGACAGACAAAAAATTTACTGATTGCATTTTTGGCATTAGTATCGATCACTAATCACCTGATAGTTATTTTGGAAATATATTTCGTGTATACAATTGACCTCTACAGACTTTTCAATAAGTATAGATATGGATAGGTATAGATTGTATTTCATATCGATGCATTCAATTAATTACACTACCCCCCAATCGTCCCAGGAGCGCAAGCAGTCGTCTGGCGGAGGCAGCGCGGTGGGCGCGGCGCCGCCGGAGCGCTGCGGCCGCGCTCTGTCGCACGCGCTCAAGGGGCTGCGGGCACTGCACCACGTCACCATACACAAGTCCAAGGTACAATGGCGCTTTTTTGTATGATATAAGCCGGTAAACGAGCTGACGGATCACCTGATGGTAAGCAATAGTCGCCGCACATTGACACCTGAAACACCGAGGCGTTTCAAGTGCGTTACCGGCCGTTTGGGAATTGGGAGTTTTAGGATTGTGAAGGATTCGGAAATTGGGGAGACTGAGAAAGGGGGGGGGGCGTAGTTGGGCCTCCGGTAGCCTCACTCACACGACGAAACACAACCTAAGCGTTGTTTCACGTCGGTTTTCTGTGAGGCCGTGGTAATACCATCAGTTTTAAGAAATAGAGATGACTTAATTGACTTCAAAGTCCCAAGTCCTCCGCTTAGAACATTCGTCTGGGAAAACAGACGTGGTTCTCTTTTTCTTTTAACCATAACGTAAATACATCCTTAAACTGTGAATATAACTATTTTTATAAACAAAAATACGCCCCCAGTCTTCTTACATTATTCAACTAACAGACAAAAATACGTTTCCTTTTAATACTCGTTCAAAACTGTATTGTATAAATAATTTCAAACATCATCTTTACTACACACAGGAAGAAGAACGCGAGCGTATAAAACAACAAATAATAGTAGAGGAACAACACCCTAAAATGGCGAATCCGTACGAACCAATCAAAATGAGTTACGAACCAATTGCTAAATCTAAGACCGAAGCCAAAGAACACACGTCTCGCAGCCGACGACGGAAACGCGAGAGGAAACAAAGCGACAAATCTGGCAACTTTTTAATAGAAGCTTCCAGTGTAGACAAAAACGCTATTCAGATACTTAAAGACAAGAAAGTCTACCCGACCTGGCACGAGCCTAATCGAGATGATAATTTCGCGTGGAAATTGCATTTAAAAACTTTGTTATATGAGAAAATATGTCTCGCTTACGCCATCTTAGCTGAATACAGCTATGTGAACGAACAGTATGGTTTCTCTCTCAAATATATCGACATGGCCAGTAAATGCCAGAAGTTATTATCGAATATGATAATTAAAAGTAAGGTTGTTGACCCTGGGTGCCTGCTTGGCCGTGTCGGAGACAACTTCTTCCAAATGTCCAAGAACTGGCACCGTTTGGAGCAGTTCAAGAAGCAGTTTAGTACAGATCATGATATTGACGCTAAGATCCGACTGGAGCTGGAAAATGATATGACTGAGGAAGTTGAACATGCTGTTAATGATGAGCTTGAGTTGGGTGAGTATAATTACTTATTTTCTATTTTATTAAGGTATTTCGTCTGTTTCATTAAGTATTGATTACTTGTTTCATCCGTTTTAACAAGCATTGCATGCGATATGAGAATAGACAGAAGTATCATCCTTTGTAAGACAGAATATAAAATAAGTTTATAACCTAATCAAAAAAAAAAAATCAAATACGAAGTAAAATAAAGAAACACACGAAATTTTTTATTGAGAAACTGTGTTTTCGAACTGAAAGGGAGAAAGAGAATTAAAATGTAGCTTTTTTAAGAAGTTTTTTTTTAATTTTTTGTTTTTAATCAATAGTAGCTAAAATATTCGAGTATCGATAAGGCCGACTAAACAAGAGATAGGTGAATTAAACTATATGATCTAGATCCTTAGTAGGTGTACAAAAGATGTGTTAATTCGAAAGTCACCTATGATGAGGACAAACCAACAAAAATAACAAATTTTTGATTCTAAAAAGCCTATAATCATTCATTTTAATGTGTTATTTGTTGCCTAGACATATCCTTACCGTCAAGCGAGGTGTCCGCGATGTTGATGTCGATGTCTGCGTACCGCGCGGCGGCGTCAGTGCCCGCGCCGCGCCGCGCCGAGCTGCTGCGTCGCCTCGCGTCCGTCGGCAACGAACTCGCCGTCAGGCATATGAATGATGGACAACGTAAGTACATTCAATACATTTATATGAATATTACAGAATTTGTGACAACATTGACTCCTATAGTAATTGCCTTTAGATTCGATATTGATAATTATAATACACAGGACTAACAGCCGAAATTAATAAGGTTTTAATAAGTATTTTAGATTAATGTCCAAATACTATTCCAATTTAATGTAGGTACATTAAATTGGAAAACATACGGAATATTTTTGCCTGTCTTGCAAATATATAAAGGTATGGTCTCGAAATTTTCTCTGTCTATTTATTTTGAAGGTTTGAAATTGTCTTTAAAATTACTAATCTTGTTACGAAATTGTATATAATTATACTATGAATGTACCTACCCGCAGAAATCTACATGAGATACACAGAAGAAGAGGACCCAGAATCCCGAAGCGCTAAGCTCTTATTAAAACAGTTCGTGTCAATATCTCGCAAGTCGCTCGAGTGTTTGGACGAAGCCACTGAGATATTTAAACAAGTTAATGATATTCCTAACTTGGCACTGCTGTACTGTAATAAGGGAAGGTATTTAAGATACCGGGTGCATTGCGATCAGGGAGGATTCACGTAAGATACCTTACTTTTTAATTACTTGCGTAGTGTGTAACAAAATGAGTGACAGTATATGAGAATGAGTGAACGTGAGTAAGTGTGATTGGATGAATGAGATTAGTCAATCTCAAAATGATTAAGTTCAAAGTGTGTGAGTAAGTGATATGTGCAGGAAATAAAAGAGAGCTTAAGTGAGAGTCAGTGTGAGTGAGTGCATGAATGAGTGAGTGGATAAGTAAGTGAGTGAGTGAGTGAGTAGGTGGATGAGTCAGTCAGTAAGCGAGAGTGTAAGAGTTAGTAAGTGATTGAATGGTTAGATTCGAATTGACTTACGACGTATAATTAATTTTGCCGCCAGGCCGGAGAAACGTCGCATGTACGCCGAGGCGGAGCAACTGTACGTGTCGGCGCTGCAGTTGCTGGGTCCGCGCGAGACGTGCGGCGCCACCGCCGTGTGGGAGCTGGTGGCCTGGGAACTGTCCTGCCACGTCTACACGCGCGCCGTGCTCATGCAGGACTCCACCGACAGTGCTTTTGTTAGTATTATCACACTACCCTCTCTAATTTACTCACTCTGTTACACACTCATTCGCTCGCTCACCCTCTCCTCACACACTCACTTACTCACACACTCACTTACTCACTCACTCACTCACTCACTCACTCACTCACTCACTCACTCATTCACTCACTCACTCACTCACTCACTCATACTCTCATACACTAAGAATGAAAAGCTTACTAAATACTTAAATTTTATATATACTTAAATAATTAATTTAAAAATATTTATTTATTTCTTTCAGGAAGTCTCAGAAGTATCAGATGCTCTAAAGCACGCGCTGAAGCACTGCCCGCTAAGTCCGGGGCCAAGACAGTACCTGTACCAGTTCCGAGCTGCTATGATATACCACCGACTTGGGTCCCTGTACCATTCGCAGTATCGGTGAGTTATTACTTGTATTTGATTTATGTCTATTTGTCACGAATCTTTCGCTTCGGGATATCTGTTCCATTCCGTGTAGGGTAAAAATGTTTCAGTGAGCCAATTCTACTTCGTGTAAAATAACTTTTGTATGGGGATGATTTGAAACTTTACTTAGAAATAAACTCTGAACGTGACAGCTTGGCACTGCAGCAAGATATTGATGCAGTATACAGGTGGAGCGTAGAAAACATAGAGTTTAATTCATCCAAATGTTATGTTATGATATTTTGTCGAAAGCGGAACCCAAATGACTTCCAATACGTTTAAATAATAGCAGCATTACAAAGTCGACAATCATGAAATACTTGGAAGTCACATTCGACCAAAGATTCACTTTCCATGACCATATAGCCACAGTAGCGAAGCAATCCTTCCAAAGGTTAGGTTTTGTTTTGCGTAATTGTCGTGGTTTTCGCACTGCCCATGCCATTAAGATCATATTGAATGCTCTAGTTCATAGCAAGTTGGTAACCAGCTCGTGTATGTGGAACCCACACGAAAGTACTTACGCCCTACTCTTAGAGAAAGTCCAAAAAGCTTTACTTAGAAACTTGTACAAGTGGCTGCACGGGTACTTACCTCTATCCGACAAACTTTTTATTAGGTAGTCTTGGTTACAACTCACTAGAGGTAAGGAGAGCAAGAAACCAACTTGCAGTAGCCTGTAAAACGTTCCGTGGTGCTATTAGTGCTCCAGATCTACTGGAGTCATTATTGCGCTTTTACGTCCCAGATAATTACTGCCGGGGTAAAAAGCACAGGCTGTTTGCCGTGCCCTCATGTCCGTCCGACAGTCCGACCGTCGCACGCGCTAAATCACCTATTCCTCGCACTCTGGCCGCGCTCAATAATCTCCTGGATTCCAATCCAACTAGTGATCTGTTTGCGGACGGATGGAAGGAGATTTTATCAGAATGCTTTAAGTACTGCGAGAGACACTTATAAATAGTGTTAACTCCTGTTTTAATCAAGTTTTGCTTTTCTTTTTCTTTTGTTTTATTGTTTACTGTAATTGGGTTTTCTATCGTTGTGACTGTCTAAAAGTAAATAAATGAATTTGATAAGTATGATCCTTAAAAAAAGTGTGTTGCTAAATGCGTAATGGACCGATGAGAACTCTAATGTGAGGTGAGATGTTTAGAAATAAAGAATTAAATATATTTTTTTAGCTTAACGTCCGAGGAAGGTCCCCGTCGCCGCACGCTGTTCGTGGCGTGCCGCAGTTACTACGAGCAGGCGAGCAACATGTTCGCGCTGTTGGAGGACGGCGTCATGTTCCTCACGGTGCAACTGGAACATGTCGCCCTACTCGAGGCACAGGCTGCTCGTACGTTACATACTCACTTCTCTTACTCATTTACTCGTACTCACTCATACTCACTTATACTCACTTACTCACATGCCACTATTTTATACTTATTCACTCGTTTTAACTCACTTATACTCGCCGTCCTTTATCACAACATCGAAAGTGACTCTCACTCACTCACTCACTCACTCGTAATTACTCACTGTCACTCACTCACTCACTCGTAATTACTCACTGTCACACACTCGTAATTACTCACTGTCACTCACTCACTCACTCGTAATTACTCACTGTCACACACTCGTAATTACTCACTGTCACTCACTCGTAATTACTCACTGTCACTCACTTACTCGTAATTACTCACTGTCACTCACTCACTCTCACTCATAATAATTACTTCATCATGTTAACATACGTCAACTCCATAACCATGTGAGGGCCCACACATACTACATCGTCACTCAACTTTTTACTCATGACCACTCATTTATTTCACTCATAACACCAACATTTAATCACACTCATCTTCCTTACAGTATCACCAAATCTGAAGCTCAAGTCTCTTCAGTCAGCAGTCCAACTCCTACGTCAATCACACTCTATAATGAAAGTTTTAAAGGAGAAGGACCCAGAAGAAAAGGAGAAAACAGAAGAAGGGGATGAGAAAGGCATGAAAGGTGAATTTAATCTGCTATCACTCTACGAATCTAGATTGCATTTTATACTTAAAAGTATCATTCAATATTGTTTATCAAAATCTAATAAGGATTACGAAAAAATGAGAGAGACATATAAGAAATTGTACTCCGCTAGTCTTAGGATTAAGAAGAATGAAGACATAAGACTGTTTGCGGCTAGCATTTGTGACGTTTTAGCTAATATGGATGAAATAAGTAAACAGTTTTAAATGTAGTGAAACAAAGCCTTAATAAATAAAGAGTTAAACTGAAATGAATCTTGTGGTGCGATGTTTTATGAATGTTTTTCATTTGTACTGTGTTTTGAATCGTTTTTTGCTTGCTTTCAATAGTTTTTGTTGCTTGTAACTCTGCTCTGTATTATCGTCGAGTAATTAGATAAATTGTCTATAAACAAATATAAAATATAGAAATTTAAAATAAAATGCGTTAACATTAAGCTTCAGCTTCAAAAAAAAATTATGAAAGCCCACGGCTCCGCATTCTGACATATTCGAATTGAGAATTCGAAGTAAGATATGGCCGTTTATATCGATTCTGAAATTATTAAAAAATAATTCATTAATTTTCGATAATTAAACGAACATACACAATGGCGAGAAATTGAGTTTATTCTGTACAGATTTTGGAATTTTAAAATCTTAAATCTATATTTAAAAATGCGTAAAGCACTGGGCATATATGTGACCCCTTGTATTTATACACGTATATGAAATATGTACATGGAAATAGAATTTAATTAACCTACGACTTAAAAAGAAACAAAAACTTGTAGAATAGTTTGCAAGCGATGTTTAAAATCAGAGCAAAATTATGACATAACCGACGAAAAATATATACAATACATAATAATGTAAGCACTTCTGTTTACCTCCACGTGGGGTTAAAAGCTTGAATATTATGTTAATAAGTGATCGTATAAATGTGCTTTATACGTAGTCTGTATATACAGTTATAGAATGCAAGCAAAGTTTTCAATATAACCATCTATTTATATATGTATCGAGGCTTTGGTACAAGTCTGTTTCACGTTTAAAGTAATCGAAACGAAACCGCGTTCGGCATTCCGATTGGTTGGTTCACTGAAGCCGGCCAATCAGAGCGCCGGATGCGGTCTAGTTTCGATTTTTTTAAACGTAAAAACGCCCTCCGGTCTCCTTACTACGTCGCTCACAAAACATTTGACCAAATCTCTTCATGATACACGTCGAGATTTTATTCATTAAGTTTAAACAATAATAACGGCTTATATACGTTATGTAATTTTTTCGAGGACGCTTGATTAGTTTCAAGCTTCGACCGGAGTTCATGATGAAATAAAGAGTGATTGCTCGGCTGTTTAGAAAATGAAGTGATGATTAACGTTCAAATGACAATTTGATAGTTTACAATGAGTCAGACAGACATTCTTAATTTATGTTATACATAGTTCTTATAAATCAATTGACTACTAATTTTATTTGGTAATACTGAAGAGTGATTGACAAGAATATGTATACGTTTTGCGATGTTTATACATTCTGTATGCCAAATTCGTAGTCGTAATTTTTTAGTATACGTAGTGGAAATAGTGGACTATTTGCTATTTCTGACTTAAATGTATAACAAGTGAATTTATTTTTCCCTTTTGACTGCCTCATTGGCTGTGTGGTCGCAAGTGCGACTGCCGGGCAAGGGGTCTCGGGTTCGATTCCCGGGTTGGGCAAACTATTAATGGGTTTGTAAAAAACTTAGTAGTAGCCGTCCGTGCCTATTGCTATAGGGAGTTACCTAGCCTATTGCTATAGCTATAGGCTAACTCCCTATTATAAAGGGGTGTTACATGGTAGTGGCATAATGTGCACCTCTGCCGACCCCTTCGGGGATAAAATGCGTGATGTTATGTTATGAATTTATTTTGTAAGGCTACAAAACATTTTCTTGTCAATTTTAAAAAGAATTTGACAAGGCCGGCAATTTCCTAACTGACTACTGTCCAGACAAATATGTATAGAAAATATATTTAAGCTATATTTGCTCCTTTTGTATTTATTATTGAGTGTCAAACATTTTCACAAAGTATTAGTCAATCATTTTTAATAGCTATAGTGATTGGGCAAATCACACTACATTGGCATCACCTTAGCCTGGCGCCACTTTAGTCTGCACGGTTGGTGCGGTGGCTGGGCAACCGGCTGCCGTGCAACGTGTCGCGGGTTCGATTCCCGCACGGAACAACACTTTGTGTGATCCACAGATTGTTGTTTCAGGTGTCATTGTGTATGTGAACTTATATGTTTGTAAACGCACCCACGACACAGGAGAAAATCCTAGTGTGGGGCAACGTTTTTTTTTAAGAAAAAAATAACCTATAGTTAGCAAAAAAGTTCATATTAATGAAATAATAAGAGCTTCGTTTAAAAATAAATATTAATCTTAATATAGACAAAAGTTGGGTGAAAGTTTGCCCGCAAAATGTGTACATGTTCTTGTTACCGGTATGAGGTACCTTTATAACTGTATATTTAATTTTAGATTAAGTAAACGAATACGTGTTTGTCTCGAATGTATCTAATGAGTGTAAGACTGATGTGTTACTATGATTTTATTGTCAAATACAGTATTTGTATGTTAAACTGTGTTTTATTAAACTTATTTTTTATCATCTGCTACCAGTGCCCAGGATTATAAGCAAATTGGTATGGTGGTCTAAACAACAAGCGGTCTCCCCATTGGGAGACACCCCTTTTTCTTAAATCAACAGACATCTAATTCTAGTCTCTGATGTCGTGACGATTTTGCCGTTAACAGTAATTGATATTCTTCAATTTGGCAGCTAGATCATTCAGAGTGCTTACTTTTAAAACCAATCTTAAACTGTCAAACACCAAGCGGTCACCGGTGACCGCGACCCATTGTTCTTTAATTGTGTCTATAAAACCGGTACTCGACGAGTTAATGTCAATGCAGTTTAAATCCAATAAATTCTCAATAATTGTTCCATTTCAAAACTGTACAACCCATTTCGTAGCTGTTGAAATAGCATTCACAGTACGGAATATAAAGCCAAACTCAATAGCATTTAGTTAATTCAATATCCACGCAATACGGATGCAATGGGCGTTAGTGTTGCAACTCGAGAGTACGTTTCACAGTACCAATGTCGATCGATCGGAATTGGATTCAAGAGTAAGCCCCCAGGTGATTGACGAGCCTGCTAAACTTTTAAACTAACCTGAAATTTCCTCAAGAATCACACCATCTATTGGTGAAACCTGCTTCACGCAGTTGTGCTGTGAGAGATGGTACTTCCCACTATTCAAGTTACATAAAGCATCGAGGAATTACCACCGTAAACATTATTTTGTTTCTGAACCATATTTGATTCTATTACATACCGGGCCGCGAACTACCTTGCAGGTTGCCGGGGCTCGAAGCTGGAGTAGGAACGAGGTGGTTTTGAGTTAGTACATACTATCCTGACGCTACCTCTCGCCTCACTCGGGGTGGCAGGAAAAATACATGATTTTCCCTCCTCAAAAAAATCTGTTTCATAATGTACAGTAGTTCATAGATGGCCACGTCAAAACCTCCAACGTGGATGTGAAAGATAAACAATAATTAAGATTTTAAGATATAGTAATTAAGACATTATCGCTATGAGAATGCCAAACAGGAATTATGATAAAATCTATTTATATATTCATTAATATTAGGTACCTAGGTATCTTTGATGGCTTTCTAATATGGAACTGTAAAGGTTTGTAAGTCTTATTCAGACCAATGTTTTCACCTAAAGTACGTGCATTATTAATTTATTTAACTTCATGCACTTATAACACAATAGGCGGGCTTAATGCTGTAGGCATTTTCTACCAGTCTGACCTTTGGGTGATGCATTATTAAGATTTTTTCTTGTGTCGTGGGTGTTGCAAGGCTAAGCTTTACTGACTTGTGTCTGTAATTGAGACCTCTTTAGAGAGACTCAAATTGAGGTAGACTTAATTTTGTCCAGCTTTACCCTTATGAAGACAATTCTGCATGTTCACCCCTAAGAAAGTAAAATACTATGGTTGGATGTATCTCTTTTTTGTCCGACTGCGTTTTCTCGTTTTTATTTCTCGTAGAAATTTTGTGAAAAGTGCTGATTTATAACTTTCACTTGTAGCTCTTCTGACGTTCCGGGTGTCCTTATGCCGAGCTCATCGTTTACCATAACGTCTCCTCGATTGCCGCCTACTCTATAAAAAGGCTCCAAGCACCAAGACCTGCTGTGTACACACACCTCTACACAGAAGCTGTATGATGGCCACGTTATAACTTCCACGTCGATATTTGTATGACATTGTGCCTACTACTTTGTACATATTTTAGTTATCACCGAGATACGGGATGTTTAGATTGTATCTCCGCATTGACACGATATTATAGGCTCTAGTTATCTAGTCAAATAAACAATTTTCGTAATACTAACGCAGGTGTTAATGTACATACCTTTTCCGGGGTTGCGGTCAACTGCAAGAGTTACCAGAGCTTCTGTTATAAGTAGGAACGGGGGGTTTTTATTATATAGGGTCGTACATTTGTCAGCTCACCCAAGGCGGTGGAGTCCATCCAACGGTTGAAATGGTTCCCGCGACTTTGATAATCTCGTTGATCACCCTATTGAGAAGTCGCAAACGCAGTTGATGTTCTCTTATTCCAATGCTCCAATGGAACAGTCAGTTCAGGCGTAAGATTGCTTTCGTGTTTCTGTCGGATGCATTTCGATGAGCGTGCGAGGGTATTGCCTAACTTGATTCCCCCTAGTCCTATTCATTCCACAAGACAATCGGCGAAACGTCACCGATTCATGGTAATTGTCTCCCCCAAACGCACGAAGCGCTTCGCATCAAGCTTTCTTGTGCGTACTGCTAAAGAGTGGAATTCTTTGCCAGAGTCTGTGTTTCATGGAGGGTATACCTTGGGTGTCTTCAAGGCCCAAGTGAATGGGTTGTTGTTATAGGCAGACGTGTTCTATAGTAGGCTGCATTATCACTTACCACCAGGCGAGATAGTGGCCAAACGTCGGCCCATCAAATATAGCAAAAAAGTTCATCAAAATGCATCATGCATCACAAATAAAAAAATGAAAACATTACAATATAAAATATTATAGGGTATACATATAATTTTAAAATTACGAGGAACTAAATACCAAGCGACTTTTGGATAGATCAGTAAGGGAAAACGGGAATGGGTAATATGGTAAAGCAAATGATGTATAAAGATAAATAGGCCAAACCCAGGCAAATGGTAATCCCACCCATCATTCAATCAACTACTAAGCTCCGCAGGGGGCATCGCCTCGTCCAGAGTCGTTACGTTCTTGGTCTCCCTACCGTAATAATCTTTTATTGTATCTTTATATATATGTATATTAAATAGTCTGTAGAATGCCGCCATCTCCTTGCGATGGGGTGACGACATATAAAAACATTAATCAACACCGCGTCTTACCGCGGGTGCCCTGAGAGCCGACAAAAATGTCCCTTTGACAGAGGCCAGGCAGTGTGCTCTCTGATTTATTTTTATTTTTAGTCATGATCGTCCCACTAGGGCAAAGGCCTCTTTACCCTCCTTCCACTCGTCTATGTAAAGCTTTTTGCGGGCAATCCTTGTCATACATGTCCCGTCTCGCCATCTCCTTTTGGTCCTGCCGCGACGTCTATGGACGTTGAGTGGGCTCCACTCAGTAGTAAGTTTTGCCCACTGCTCGTCTGACATGCGGCAGACATGACCAGCCCAGTTCCACTTCAAGCCTGCGGCTTACAGACCAACGTCAACGGTTTCAGTCGTGGAGCGCAGTGTGGTATTCCTGGCGTGGTTATCTGATACTTAAACCTGAATCTTATACTGCGATTATCAACCCTTGCCATGCTTGCCAAGGCCAAGCATACCCCTCGTATGTAGCGTAGGCTCATATAATTACAGTTGACAGTTTTTTTTTTTAATTGGGACAAGCTCGCCACCACCTCCCATAACCGCTGCAACTCCTGTAAGTCAGGATCTACAATAGATACAACCATGAACACACCGGAACACTGAATTTCGGCGCATCCCAAGGACATGAGTAACTGTCTTGGTTTCCGCAACGAAATGAATCAGAAGATATTATAAGAGGAGAAGAAAAAACTATAGTTTCCACTTCCCTCAGTGAATTACTGCAGGAGACAGAATGAATTAAGCCTAAAGGCACAAAAGAGAGATTGTACAACTGGGTGAAGCCCGGTCGCCAAGCACCGTGGAAAATTGACAAAAAACTAAGTGTGAGCTGTTATACTTGCATCCAATAATAGGTATGGCAAAAAACAGTTGATAGTTACGGTCATTTTCTTTTATTTATCTAGTGTTGTCCTGTAAAGTGATATATTCACTGTTTTTCTTCCTTCTTCTTCTGATGTCATGTGATCCTATTGCCAACAGGAGGCACATGGGAGCCACGTCAAAACCTCCACGTTGATATTGCGTAAATTAATAAGATATGAGGTAACAACGTTATCTTTAAGTAAATACCTGAATATAGGATTACTCTATAATTAAACAAGCAATCAGTGTTGCCATAATAAAGTTTGATAAGTGCCGGATTAGTTAGGCCACTGCTGTGTTTTATCTGAGATTTACTATTTCCTAATTGGTGTCATAAACTTAAGTATTTTTATTAACCGACGCGACGAATGAAAACTGAGGAGGTGCTCAAGATTAGACACCTATGTCTTTTCTGGGTAGTTAAATTGTGTGTATGTATGTTTTTTTTAATATAAGCCGGTAAACGAGCAGACGGATCACCTCATGGTATGCAATCGGCGTCGCCCATGGACACCAGAGGCATTGCAAGTGTGTTACCAGCCTTTTGGGATTAGGAAATTAAGGATTGTTGGGGATTCAGGGATTGGGGAAGGGTGTGGGTGGGAGTTAATTGGGCCTCCGGTAACCTCACTCACTACACGAAACACAACGCAACCGTCACGTCGGCTTTATGTGAGGACTACGGCCGAGCCGACCCATTCGTGCCGAAGCATGACTCTCCCACACTTTATGTTATGATATTATGATGTTATTGGCTAGCGCGACTGTCGAGCAAGAAGTCTCTATGTTCGATTCTAGGGTGAAGTTAAGTATTAGATACTAGTGTATCTACACGTTGCAAATCTGTCAGTAATAGCATGGAGTATTGCGCCCCGTGTGTAGTAATATTCGCAATAAGCTGAAGCTTAGTGGCGTAACCTTACCGTTCGGGACCCGTGTCAAATTCATTGGATGAGCCCCCATTTCCAATAAAACAGAGAAGTTCAGATAAAAACCTTTGACCCGGGCCCTTTCTAATTGGGGGCCCGTGGCATTTTGCCAACTTTTCGCCACTGCCCAAGCTTTATTCTATTCTAAGTATTACAAAACAACATGGGAACTTTTAGTTTCCTTGTGCGGAATTCTTTGCCAGAGTCTGTGTTTCCTAAAGGGTGTAACCTGGGTGTCTTCAAGGCCCAAGTGAATAGGTTGCTTATGGGAAGACGTGTTCCATCATAGGCCGCATCATGGCTTACCACCGGGTGAGATAGTGGCCAAACGTCGGCCCATCAAATTTAAAAAAGAACTCTAGGTAGATACTACAAATGCTTGCAAAAGTAAGTAGGTAATACCTAATACTATTTTGCTTTAGTGTTGCAAACGTTAATTGGCCACAGTAACTTACCATAAGTTGGACTGTGTGCTTTTTTGCTTCCGTCATGGTATAAAAAAGTCCCTCAATCAGAGAAATGTCTTTACGAAGCGTGTAACAATAGACAGCCTATGATAATTAGGTTATTCTTGGTTAGGACCTAAATAGATTTTGAAATATTGCATTAAGTTATTTAAACTCCTAAAGCTAGCTAAGGAGGTTTAAGAATATTTTTGGTGCTTTTAATTTTTTTTTAAATATGCACAGTATTTTTTTTATTAGTCTCTTGTCAGTCAACCTTTTTGCTACTGTAATGGTGTGTTAAAGATAGGAGTGCTATTATTATAATATTATGCATAACGCATTTATAAAGTACCTAACAGCAATTATTTACTTTACGCCTTTTATTTGAAAAACGACATCGGTAATGTGTTAACCCAGTGTATGACCTTACATAATCCTTATATAGTTTTCCTTTATATACCAACTTTTCATATGTGCTCTTTGGACTTTGGTGGTGAAACAACTCTTGCGTTATGTTTCGTCGTGTGTAGTTACTGTAGGCTCAATTATCCCCCTCCCAATGTTCCGAGAATCCCTGAATCCCCAACAATCCTCAAATTCATAATCCCCAAAAGGCCGGTAACGCACTTGTAAAGCCTCTACTGTTTCTGGTGTCCATGGACGGCGCCCCTATTATTATACTCTTTGGCGACGCCGATTGCTTACCATCAGGTGATTCGACTGCTCGTTTGCCGGCTTATTCCATAAAAATGTATAATTATTGCAAAAATGATTTTAACTTTGTTATTTTAGCCAATGTCGTGGTAGCCCGGAGGTTTAAGACGCCCATTTCTCATGCATGAGGGTACGGGTTCGAAACCTTCCAACGGCAAGTACCAATATGACTTTTTCCGAGTTATATGTACTTTCTAAGATTATTTAGACACCACTGAAAAAACATCGTGAGGAAACCTGGACTTATAATTTCTAATTATAATTTCTAATTATAAGTTTGAAATCGCCAACCCGCATTGAGCAAGCGTGGTGATTATTGCTCAAACTTCTCCGTGTAAGAAGAGGCTTTGCTCAGCAGTGGGCATTTATAGGCTGTTGATGATGAATTTAGCCAACCTTTTAATAAAAGTGTTTGGCCAATTACAACAAACTTGCCTCATAGCATAAGCAATTAGCGATGATCTAACTATGTTTATAAGGTAGGCGTAAGTAGGCCTATGTTTGTGAAAGAACACTTGACATAAATATTTCAGTTAGTAGGTAAAATGAAATAAAACACAAAAATAACACAATATAAAACAATTTATTCGTAACAAAATAATGATTAGACATTAAAAGTAATTAAATAGGTATGTACAATAGAAATAATTAGCTACTATCACAAATAGTTGCGTCCGTCCGCTCGTTGCTTTCACTAGTTTGTACTTACAATGTGATTGTATCATTACTTACAAAATATAACACATGATAATGGCAACACTGGCTTTTTAGCACCCATTTTTTTTAGGTTAGCAACACTATCTCATCTGTCAAAGTCAGATTTGTAGGTTAAATCTGATGTTTATATAAAACATTTTTTTGAGAATCTCTCATGCATGCATTTGCAAGCTTCTATATTTTCTGTTCAACAAAATAATCGGTGGTCCGATATTTGACATTTCATATATCAGTGTTACCATTATTATGTAATATCACCTAAAATGGCGGATGGCCAGCTCTGATCATTATCGACCAACAACACTAAGGAACATTAAGATATACTTAAATGGACAACTGTTATAAATTACTATTCTCATTAAAATACATATAAAAATTGGTCCAAATGTTTTGATTCGTTGAAAACCAAGTATAAGGCGTGGCAAAGTTACCGGCCCCTCCCATTTTGAAAGACCAGAATCTTTGTCTAGCATTTTACTTGAAAAATGTCTTGCAAATTGGAGACCAAACATTCAAATTACCTAGATACGTATAAAATATAATTTCACTGGAATAAATTAAGCGGACATTTGATCTCCAATCAACAAGATGAAAACCGTAACAATCGGAAACTAGGGATGTGACACGACCGATTTTTTCGGACAATCGTCAAACTTTAACATTATTTTATTTTTCCCATTCACATTCCAGCAACCGATTTTCGTTAAAATCGGTTAGTAAAATCGGTATTTCGTTTATTTTAATATTCGATTTTCCCTAATATTCTGATTGTTACGATGTATGCGATGCAGTAATACTAACAGCTAGCGATTATTGATATAACACAAAATATTATACACTTTATGCTTTCTCCAGCTTGGACGGCCTGTGGACAAACAAACATATAAATTAGTGTAACTATAACCAGTTGTATGTCTACAGCGGTCAAATATTGAATGTCTAATTGTGTTACACTAGCTTATTCCCTACTGGACGAAGAACGAGAGGTTTCCCACTAGCGCTAAATGGTGAGCAAACATACGGTAGACCCTATTAAACCATGTAGTAAAGGCGGTATGGATTACGTTTGGCGCCACCTAAGTAAGTAAGACCTGATTACAAGACTACATTTGACAGAAACAACAACAGCGATCTTTAAAAATATTGAATCTCTTAAACTGCAAATAACTGTAAATGAGTGCACAGATTATGGCAAACGCCTCTAAAGTAGAGAAGGATCACAGTCTAGCAATATAATAGCTAGCAAGCAGCTGTAGCCAAATGCCACTTAGCGCTTGTCTACATGTAGAATAGAACACTGAATTATATGGAATTGACGTATATTTTGACACTTGTCAGTGTACCATCATACCCATACATTTTGATTTCTACTCTCTCTGTAGACAAGCGCTATAGTGGCGTTTGGCTAAAGGCCAAGGTCTACTCATATCTCAATTATCACCAAAAAACTAGATCTAATTACCTATAATTCTTTTATTAAATCTATTTAAAAAAACGACTTCAACCCCTCTTGTTTTGAAATCGCTTGATCAATATACTCAAACCTTCTTCTAAATGACATTTCTGAAAACCGCATCAAAATCGGTTCAACTGAAATCTCCTTTTTTCGAAGTCGGTTAAAGAAGTCCACCATCACTTCTAAACTATTCCAAACCCCATTAAATGATCATTGAAGGTCTGCTCACCTGCCAGACAGGATGTCCTGGATCTCCTGGAAGCTCTTGCCCTTGGTCTCAGGCACCAGGAACAGAGTGAAGAAGAAGGCAGCTACACAACATGCGCCGAAGATGAAGAACGTACCACCCATACCCAGGGCTGTAGCGATGGCACTGAAATATCTGTGGAGGGGAACACAGCAATTTTAGTGTAATGTTTCACTAGAAGCGATATAGTGACAAGTTTTTTGATGGTGGTTTTATTATCAGTATAATTGTTAGAATAATAAGTTATATTTGTGAAGAATGACATTTTTACCGCTAATTTATTTCCTTAGAGTACTTTTTCATTTAAAATTTTAAAAATCAACCTTAGTTCGGAACTGAGAATAACAACTAGCCCGAAAAAGCAATCCGAAATACTCCTTGTAAGTGCAAGTAATTCTATTTATTTTATTTATCATCTAAGTCCAACAGACGTAATATAATATATCTTACCTGGTGATCAAGAAGGACAGGACCCAGCAGAAGGCGGTGGCAATAGGTGAGGCGATGGCCTTTACTTCAATGGGGAACAGTTCAGACATGACAGCCCACGGCAAGGGTCCCAGACCCCAGCAGTAAGTCACTATGAAGAGGACAAGAGACAGGATGGGAAGGAATCCAATGCTGGACACTACTGGACTACCCTTGTCTGCTAGGATGAAGAACATGCCAAGAAGACCCTGGAAAAAATAAAGAGATAGTTTTATATTGGTTAAAAAACAGACTAATGGTACATTTTCTATTAACAATTTTAATATTTTCGTTTTTATCATAATTAAAATATATCACAATACAAGGCTATTTCCAAATAATTGTCAAAAGTGAGTCGATAAAGTTTTCAGTCACTTACCAAACCAATAGCAGTTCCGGAAGCTGAGATGAGGAGCAGGATCCTACGACCCAGTCGGTCTACCACCAGAGGAGTGATGCAAGATGCAATCACCTGGAAAACGTACAAATCACTATTGTGAGTATAAAAAAGAAGATAAATTAAAGAGACGAGAGGAGGATATGTACATACATTAAAAGGTTAATTTTTATGTTAAAAGATGGAAGAAAATCTTCATTAAGTCTGATTTAGGAAAAACTTTCATGTTTTCGCATTTTGTACTTGATCAAATTCAATACCAAAATCACTTGACGCATAATATTATAATGTTATCTATTATTCCAAAGGCAATTCTACAAACCAAAACAATCAAGGAACAATATATAAAACGAAAATATCAGATATATACCTGTACAACACCAATGATGATGGTAGCGACGGCGGAGTCGAGGCTGGAGTTGGCAGCTTCGAAGATGTTGGTCATGTAGAAGAGCACAGCGTTGATACCGCTGAACTGCTGGAAGAACACTAGAGCGCAAGAGATGTAGAACGCTTTGAAGTTACTGCCGCGGAACACGTCGGCGACCTGGAATAAAAATTAATACTTTTATTAAAGAAATTTTGCAATAACATAAGTTATAGACAGATGCCATGGGAGAATGGAAAAAGTGCTGATTCAAAGTAACTAACATTTCGGGTAAAAGCAAGGAAGTGTTAAAACACAGGCGCTAAAGTTATGAGATAAGACATTCAGGAACACTATCTAGCTTCATGGAGCTGGATAGTGTTCCGATGCATGCATCATAAGAACAAACTAGTTATACCCAGGAGAAGACCTTGAGTCTCGGAAAGGTACGTAAATGTATCTGTAATAATGTTATAAAACCTCACCGTAGCGGTTTTCTCCATGGAGGCAGTGACATCAGCAGCCATTTTGTCGAGTTCATCCTGAACGCCCGCGTGGGAACGACCTCGGATCTTAGCCAGGCAGTTGGCGGCTGCCTCCCTGTCACCTGGGGTGATGATATTAGTTTTAGAAATAGCACAAAATAATTGAAAACTCCTATATTTATTCTACAGCAAAGTAGCTGTAGTTAGTAGTGCTTTGACGCTATTTATCGCTGATTTAAGAGACGATTTTTTGCGTTTCTAACAAAATATTTATGTACTTCAATCACCAGTCAGTTAACTATAAATAATCAAAATCCAGGATAAAGAATTGGAACCATTTATAGAAAGTATACCTACGCAAAGAAATAGTATAAAGCTCTTATTATATTTTCAAATAATAAAGCTTACCTTTAGCCAGGTAGTAGAAGGGAGACTCAGGCATGAAGAAGAATCCGACGACAAAGACAGCAGTGAAGATGATACCGACGTAAGCTATCACCATGTAGGAGACATAGGGTCCGATACCGTAGATCAGCAGGTAACCCAGCGTGATGAACGCTTGCAGAAACGAACCGAGGGCACCACGAGAGTCATCCTGGAGACATGAAGACAAGGTTGAAAATAATTAAATTATTAATAATTAAAGGTTGATAATAATAAAGTTCCTGGAGGAAATCTCTAAGTTCTGTAGAAGACTTTAATCTGTCACGGACTGAGTTAGGGAAGAGGAAGAAAAAGGATGTCCAATAAAAACTGTGAACATAAAACAATAAAGATTTTATCGCTGCTATTGGACGATATCTCAGGCGGGCATTTAATTGCTTAAATTGCCTAAAAGATGAAAATTGAGATCTACTAAAAAAAAATTCTTACCGTAGCAATTTCCGCGCAGTACATGGGGGAGATGGTGAACAGCATACCGACGGCGAGACCCCAGAAGATCCTACCACCGTAGATCATGCCGACGCTGTTGGTGGCAGCGATCAGGATCCAACCAATGAAAAGAGGGATGGAAGTACTCAAAAGACCCCATTTGCGACCGATCTTTGATGCAGCAAAACCGCCGAGGAAGGGGCCTATAAACAGAAATTTATTGGATTAAGATTTGTTTAAGTTTTTTCACAATAATGAGAAACTTTTATCCATTCACTATGCATAAGAATGTAATTATTCAGCGAAAAGTTTGCAATTAGATCTCAGTGCTAAAATGTTATGCCAAAGAGTTCTTTATCTAAACGAAAAGTTTAGACTCAAATTTAACTATTTTCCAAAAACCAACGTATCTGTGGATAGATTTGGTAAATTGACTTTTAGTAACACATCTTGAGTTAGGAGATTTTGTATGTGAATACACCTTGTCTTCAGACTTATTTTTTTATGAAACTTTGATCTTTTATGTTGGTAACGGAACCATTACTGGGCCTTGAAAATGAGGAACTTACCAAAGATAGCACCCACAGTGAGCAGGGATCCGATCCATGCCTCTTGGTCTTTGGTGACTGGTTCGCCTACAGGGTTGCTGGTGTCGTTAGCTTGCAGTTTCAGGTTTACAGGAGACGTCCATCCCATGGAGTAACCCGTTGACGCAATCGCGATGTTCGCTGGACACAAAGAGAAAGAAGGTTGTTACTATGGGCATAATTTTGGTGATGACGGTTGATTTAGGAGGTAAGATCATGCTTGATTCCCAAGAAGACTAAAATTGGAGAATTTTGAAGTTCTCATTCGAAATTACCTCTATGTTGTTGTAACATAAATGAAGACAAACAGCATATGTGTAATTTTCGGAAGATAATGTAATAAAGAATTCTTAATAATTAAAGACTTCAGAAAGTAAATAATTGCTAAACAAACTCCTGCTCCACGTAGTTGACGGCCACGTCGATATTTGCATGCTATTGTAAACATCAAAGACGTTATACTAAATGATAACACATTTTATAATTAGTTTAACTACGTAAATACTTGCATTTGTAGAGATAAAAATCTCTGTTATGATAAAAATAAATATCTTTGTTCACGTGCGAAGTCTAACATGGAAACAGCGCCTCATGTGGTTTAGATATTGAACCGAGATTTAGTTCATTTAACACGTTAACCGCCGCGTAGGTCACCGGTGACCTACGTTAGCGGAGGATGTGCCTTCAGCAGTTTTCTGTCGGCATTCAAAGGCTTAATATACGTTTATTTTTTTATAGAATTGAAGACGAGTATACAGATCGATCATTGGATGGTAAATGATCAGCGTTGCCATGGAAATCTGCACCACAGGAGTAACTTAAGTGCATTGCCAGCGTTTAGGGTAGTGTGGGCCTTTTTTTGCATAGGTTGCGTTTCGCCACCATCTTGCCTGGTGATAAGCGATGATGTGACCTCCATATTTTAAGTCCAAATAAGGGATAGGTATCAGCACCGCATTAAGAAGTACCGAACATGAGCTGATGATCATTTAGAAGTAACGTGGAAGTTTTGACGTATCCTCAAGCTTCCACGTCGATGCATAATAACAATATAAATATTAAATGACAAACAAGATAGAACATTTTATAAGATTCCGAGGTTTAATTGTATTTGAATAGCGTCGCCATAATAAATACTGATAGTCGCTACATTTACAGTATTATTTTTTGTTTCTTTTAGAATACATGACTAGGGTTTTATATATAACAAAATGTTGAAATTTAAGGGTGCATGTCTACCAATCCCTTCAAGCGAAAAAGGGACACATAAACGAAAGAAAACTGACTTCATTTTCAGTTCAGTTTACGAGTGGTATGATCAAACAGACCGATGTGGTTTATGCTGCCAAGCCTTACTATCCAACTAAGGTACTACTGTGTACATATCGTTAGTACTATAAAGTTTCCTATGCTTACTTTAAACGTAATACCTAGGTACGTTGAAAAAAAAGACATAGTCTCTTGAAACAACGACTGTGGCACCTGGTTACTACAGATTTACACGCAGAATATACACACATAGACGCGAAGGGCATCTGTCATTTTCTTTAGTATGGAAACGTGGTAACCCATTACACACGCACACATAAATAACACACTGACATTTTGGTGCTTCAATTATTTCTAAGCGACATTATGTTCGCCTTTTTTAAATGTTCTTGCTAGGTACCTTTTTTGTTTAAAGATGTATCCTTAATAAAATGTTTTAAGTTCAGTTGCGACTTTTCAATTAGATTTTAATTAGAAGTTGGGTTTTAACTGATGAAAGTGCTATTGCTAGTGCTAGACCTTAGTATGGGGTTTGGGGAACAATCTACAATGATTTTGGGGTTTTTGATAATTTCGTGGATTGCTCACCATAACAGTAAGACAATTAAGAAAAGCTTATATTGTACCCGATCGTAACTCAGTACGTAGCTAATTTATTTAATTGCACGCAAATCCTATAGTTTGATGAAAAATCCATTATTCTACGTCATTTGTTTACGAAGCTCGACCTATAGTAAACGTATTGTGTATTTTAATTACAACATGTGTTTATTTACTGTGCATTGTGAGATTATCTTTTGCGGTCAGTATGATATTAGTACAATACCTCGTATTTTATTATCCGTTATAGATACTAGAATATATATGTAGGCTTTATTTTATTTGTATGAATCCTTGTTGTTTGAGTGAACGTTTTGTTTATGTGTAGAAATTGCTTAAAGACGACCACGCTTTGGGTTTTTAAGACGAATGTTTATCTTTTTTTATGGGATAAGCCGGTAAAGTAGACAGATCACCTGATGGTAAGCAATCGGCACCGAAAAGAATCCTAATGATATTAACGTAAAAATTTGTTGAAACAGTAGAATTACTGAGCTGATTTGGAAGCGATTAAAACAAAAAATATAAATTAAGAAAAGACACTAAAACAATATTATATTATTGTTTCAGGTTTTAAGCAAGTTATTTTCTAATTACTGTAAGCATTGTGCAATAACTACGTCGTCTCATAATTTAGGTAACTAACCATATCTGCTCACGCCTATACATAGTGTCATCAATCCCTAAGCAATTAGGTACGTACTTTCGCAAGTTCACTGTACGTAAAAAACCATTATTTAATTATGAAAAAAAAACAAATATTAAAAAATAAACATTACAATATTTGATCACAGATTATATTTTGAATGAAGATTATTTTTGATTCATTCGTGTTTGAGAATGAGATAAAATATGTTTGTTTGTAAATTAAAAGTATTTGTAATCGTCAGGAAGGTGTTCCCTCGTGACTATTATTTATAATTATTAACCTATTGTTTAGTTAGTTTACACGTGAGTGTAACAATGCTAACTAAGTGTTGTATTAGTGACAATCTCGTGTCACGATTTGGGAAACCATATCAAAGTTTAACGACTTTTTTGAAGGTTTTATTAGCATAAAATAGACATTTTGGAACAAGCGCTGAGCTTCGCTGATGTTTCAAAAATGTCTTGTTTGGTTTAATTGTAATAAATGCTTTGATTTTGACTTTGGTATTACTTTGTACCTAGGTAGCGCAGGATGGGCACAAACCGTAGCATCCTCTATTTAGATTTTAGGTGACTTATATTTGCAATCCATCAGTTATCTTACCTACTAAGCATAGCCATTATGGCTAATCTATTCCTAAGTTTTTTTCTATGGAATAGCGCGACAAACAGTCACCGCATTTTTTTTGTTTTTTATTACATTTATAACAAACTCCATGTGAAACTGTTAGGTACAACTAAGATGAGTATTCTGAAAGCCAAAATGCTGACGTAATCAGAAGATATCTGAATACTCCATAAGATACGGTAATCCTCTATCCTCTACCTTCAATGATAGCTTTGACAAATCTTGAGTAACCATGATTCAGAGGAGGCAATTGTTTGACAGGCTACTGACAACTGCCTGTTAAACAAATCTTATTATCTATTGTACCTAACAGATAGCACGCACATCTATCTGTAAGTGTGGGAGAGCCGTGCTTCGGCACGAATGGGCCGGCTCGACCGGAGTGATACCACGGCCTCACAGAAAACCGACGTGAAGCAACGCTTGCGTTGTGTTTCGTCGTGTGAGTGAGGTTACCGGGGGCTCAATTACCCTCCCCTTCCCCAATATCCCCAACGATCCTCAAACTCCTAATCCCCAAAAGGCCGGTAACGCACGTGTAACGCGTCTGGTGTTCCAGGTGTCCATGGGTGACGCCGATTGCTTACAATCAGGTGATCCGTCTGCTCGTTTACCGGCTTATGCCATGAAAAAAACCTACTACAATTTCTGTCCAATAGACAGTTATCGATCTTAAAACAAAAGTGTTATAGTTAAAAATGTGTCAAACAAATTCTGATGGATACGGTTTCTTGATATGCACGTGTCCCTACTTCAGGCAATGCGAGTGCTATATTTCACGTGTCTTTTAATATGTTATTAGGTATATCTAAAAATTATGTGCGTATCTTGACAGCTATAGAATACAATATATGCCTAATATTATCTATTTGACTTTGACCTAGGCTAGGTATTTCAAGAGTTATAGGTCTAGATTTCTTCAATAATAACTAAACAGAGAGAGGAATATATTATTTAAATGTCTTAGAGATATGAAAATATTATTTAAATGTCCATTAAATTTTCAGATACCTTCTATTTGCAGAAATATTTGCATCTAAATTAGAATCTGGACCTAAATCTGTAAAAAATGGATGGAACATCAGCCGGAAATAAAATCCATATATATTCTAATGTCGAACAGTCTAGATGTTGTTATATTTGTTCGTCCTGTATCAATTCAATACCCTCACTTACTTGAAGTTATTCATATGTATACGTAGTATATACGAGATAGTTCTCGTTGTTGATTATTGCAAGATTGTCGCACGATGGATATCCTTATAACCGCAGGATTCACTCCTCAGTGCATTAAACTATTCAAACGACACGAATGCATGAAATTACGTGATCTTTCCCGCGAATGCCACAAGAGTCGACTAACGTCCGAATATTGAAAGGCTTTTTTGTTGTACCTACTCAAATATCGTGTCATCTCTTTCATTTTACAAAGGATTTGTAGTGGTAGAACTATAGTTATGAGCGATTTTTAATTATCGAGTAACGTTTGAGTATTTAGACATATAAAGGGGTCGCGGAGAACTTAACGGGTAACCGGGGCTCCGGCTCGACGTGCAGGAGAAGGAACGGGGTGGTTTTTAGTCAGTAAGAGTCTGACACGCCCTTCCGCCTTACCCAGGCGGGAGCAGTCATTCGATGATTTTCCCCCATTAAAAAAAAAAGACATATAAAGGGACCTACATATTTAACCCGTCGAGCGTCCGCGTTCCTTATGATCCAACGGGTGTACACGTGACATTTGGAGCAGTTTTTCTTATGATCCACTGGGTGCTCATAAGGACGCTGGAGGGGTAATTAGAGATCAGACAGCGGTCCGATAAACCGGAGCCGTACAGATTATGGGAAACCTCCCCATTTTCACAGTAACAGAGGTTGTTAATGAATAAATAATAAAAACAATTATTCCAAGGCAGTACAGTATAGGTAGTTCATAGGAACAGATGGTACCTAGTATTATATTCTTAACAGTTCAGAGTTCTTCAAAACAAATCGTTCT